CCCCCCTATTTACGCTCCTGTCTCTTATATCTACTATAACTCTGATACCCCCTAGACACCAAGACCCCCTATAATCTATATATCTCTATATCTGTTATAGTTGCTACGTTTTGTTCCCTAGTACTTAATCGGGTTTCCAGGGATATTCTCGGAACGCATCTAATCCTTTCACTCGGACACGTGTGAATTTCAGCTCTCGATTGGAAATATTTGAGTTTAGGTAAATATTTACGAACTATTTGTTTTCATATCTTCCCATCAATATAAATCGTTTTTGCATCCAAAGTTAAGTCGTATAAATTGCACATAGTTGTTAAAACTATCACTAGATCGATGGCAATTGAGTGTGTAAATAATACGTTAAACTTCCTTATTGAACTTTCATAATCCACACTCAAACTTGCTAATGTTGAGCGAGAAAGATTAATCGAGAACGTTTGACGATATGGTGTACACTTAAACAACGGGACTAACGGATTGAACTCATTAGATTCACAAAAGTAAGGCAACTTTCGAATACTAGATGAGATGACACTTAGCACAACAGTAGAAACTTCCAGCTCAGCAAAATAAAACGTCGAAGTAGCAGTATTTGAGATTAGGTAAACTCAAAATGCTATTTACCAACGATAGAGCTTGCTGATGATTATATCGAGCGGTGCATTGTTTCAAAATAAGGCAAGTAACACTTTATAAGTGAGGCATATCTAACCGTATTTTATCTATTACTCACGGCGAACGGATATAAGATAATGATAACAATTTCAAACTAGTAAATTGGCGTAGAGTGAATCCACTTTTGAGAACTGATCGATTTGATTCTGTGCATGGTGATGATTCGAAAGATAGAATGATTCAACTCGATCTACTAGTCGTGGCAGGAATTTTGAGCAATACATATTAACTCCTTGTGTTGGAGCTGAGCGCAGGTCTACATTGGTGTTGATTTGTAAATGATGTAAAGCACGTTCATCGAGTCGAATAGGTAGACCACGAAATGTGCGAACTAGATCAATCATGGATGGATGTTTAAATATTTCATGAAATATTTCGTTGGATAAGAAATCCACGCGCATTTTGTCGTTCGTCGCCATTCAGCAGTATAGTTTTTGAAATCTTATTGAAAATAAATTTCATGCATGTTGCCTCTTTTTTGATGAAAGACTTATGTAGTGCAAAACATTTCTTTGCTTTCGTCGTCATACGCACTGCCTGTGAGTAATATGCTATTGCCTGAAGGTAAGGTTTATTTCTTAAAACGATGTGAGGAAGGCGTTTGCCAATATGGCTAGCATGCGATCCTAACATTCCAATGGAAGTCTTTCTGAATTAGAGCTGCATTTGAAATATGTCGAACGCGGAAAAGATTATCTCAATGAAGAGAGTGTCTATTCTCCGTTAATTGTACATCCGCACCCAATTCAAACATGATGCATACATTTGATTACGGAGTGTGAACGTAGGTATTTCGGTTTTGAAATCTATCGATATTGGTGTGAACGTAAATGAGGATAATGAGATCAGCATTTAATGGATGCGTACCCATATAAATTACCAATAAATTCAAATTAATGGAAATTTTTATTAAAAAACAATTCTGTTTCTCTCGTATTTTTGTTTGAAAAATAAATTCAGAGTTTTGTAACTTAAGATTTTTTTAAATTTGTACGAAAATTTGTTGCCCATGGCCTAGCTTTCATCCACTCCCACACTTTCCTAATTCAAGCACCCTCAACTACACCCGCATCCTCTTTCTTCGAAAAATTTCAGCTTTTATTTTCCTAAAAGAAATAGCTACACCAGTGAATTGAATTGACTTCGTCAACCAATGTAATTTCGACACGACAGAATAATTCTAAAAGTAATGGATGAGAAAGTAAAAGTGAACATAATCAATATTTTTAATAAGATTCAATAGACATAATGGATTTTCAACATTAATGTCAAACTTCTTTAAACTGTGAAGCAAGCATGGGGGGACTTCATTAAATTCAATCGTCACCACTGTCGTGTAGACGATAATAAGGATCTTTGATATTTAAACTTAGTTTTCTAACTACGGACGGATATTTCGTTTGAAGAAAAGGTGATATTCTCTCCTTCATCTTTAATTCTGTAAATTCAATTTTTGAAAGGCACGGAGCATGTTGAAGTATTTCTTCCATTTGTTTTAAACTAATCTCATTATGTTTGAATGATACGGTCAAAGAAACTAATTGATGGAGTGTTGAAATCATATTCCAAAACTATTCATCAACTGGAAATATGACCATAAAATGCTTAATATTGAAAAATTAGATGTTTGGCAATGGTACAGAGCGATTTCCATCAGATATGTCTTCAATATAACGCACAGAATGATATGACCAATGTTTTCCATCGTGAGGATACGTTGATTTCGAGTTAGTAGGAAACGAATATGAATATATGTCAAACATGTATGATATCGAGTATAGATAACATTTTGATCTCCTTGGATTCCAATCACACTCAACAAACCATTTATGTTCAACAAGTCAGAAATCACTTCGAAACGTATCCAACATGTCATCAACATGCAGTTCCGAAACACCACCACTCGACGGAATGTCAGCTTCTGTTCTCCATTGGAAATATTTACGAATGATGCATTCCCAATCTTTTTCATTGAGATAAAGCGTTCGAGTATCCAATGCTAAATCATGTAAATTGCGCATCATTCTTAAAATTACTATTTCGTCGTTGACTTTCGCCTGTTTCAATGATACTTTAAGTAATATTTAATGAATGTTGGCAGAAACTCATAGCATATGCTTATGATTAGCAACGAAAAATAAAATCTTCCAACTTAAGATTCTAGAAGACTGCAAACGATCGATTACAGATCTCACTAATAGAAAGTTTTATTTCGAATACAAACGCAGTGTCTTCTTTCGGATGATGATATCTATTGGCTTATTTAATCTATTAATGATCTTTACTGTGTATTTGTTCTATCTCTGCTAGACTCATTGTACACTCGGTTTTTTCTTCGCCAATTGTGACAAAAGTGTTTACTGCCATTAAAACGTTGTTCCATTCTCATTATGATTTGATCAACACAATTTTTTACTTCGTTCACTACTGTTGACAGAAAAAAAAATAACGAAAAAGAAAGAAAAGATGAAAATCGTTCTCTTTTCTCTTCGCTATAGCATCGTTTAGTCAAGTTCGACTTCGTAAACATTTACTCTTTTACAAAGACATTTTCATCAAGAGCAATAGTAACGACATTCATTTATACAAAGACATGTGAGTATCTATGAAAAATGCTTTTAATTTATCTTATTTTAAATAATGAAACATAGAATATGGCTTATATTTGAATAATACAAATTTGAACGGATGCCATATATCGGCATTTGAATAACGGAAATAGAAATACAGTTATTTTTAAATTTCCTCAAGAATTTTGTTTGATTAATACACAAATAAGGTTTGTTGATCTTCTTTTCGCCCACCACTACTATTGTTTCTAAAAACACCGATCATACTATTCATGCTTTTAGTTCATTTGACATTGATTATTTTCTTTATGCACATCTTTTCTCTATTCATGGGCTGTAAACAAACCACGACAAAAACTCCGCCTGTTGTTATCGCAACTTCACCAACTACGCCGAATTATGTGAAAAGTGCATTAAAAAAATCTCACGTGAAAGGAGGAGGAAAAACTGAAAAGCTTTCTCATTTAAAACAAAAAGTATCAACATCACATAAATCAGTTAATTTTGATGAAAAAGTTCAAGTTAAATCACGTACTCCTACACCAAAAGAAAGACGATATGACAGAGCACCATCAACGAAAAACTTACGAAGACAAATATATACTGATGATAAAGACGTCGATGATCATGATATCGACGATGACGTTAGATCAGTTTCATCGCAAGAAGATATTATTATTAATGAATCAATCAAGAAATCTAAACCTGTTTCTTCTCAAGCTTCGTTACGAAATCAATCAAATGCGTTTTGGCATAAAAATAATGCTATAGGCACTATACCTACAGCGAATACTATTAAAGAGAAAAATCAACCTTCATCAACTGCAATACCACAATTACCTCTTAGCATGACAACAGACTCTGCAGAAGATCCAAATCTACCCATAGGCAATCGTTTCAGAGTACGACGTAAAGTTCAATATCCCGTGATACCACAAGCTTCAAGCCCAGTTGTTTCTATTCAATCGCCGCCGGCTTCGTCTTCTCCGTCGAATTTGCACACAACATCTCAACCAGTACAAAGACCGTTACCCAGTACGAATGCTATACTTATTGAACATCATGCATCATTTTCTAATGGTGGATCTACACCAAAAACTGGTTATTATGCTTTTGCTCGACAGCCGACTGGTAAAACAAATCCGGCAGAAAAATAACTTTCATAGTAATTGATATGAACAGCAGAAACCAACATGTACGGAAAATAAAAGAAATATTTTGCACGGTGAAAAACAAAAGAAAAAATGGTTTAGTAGTTCAGCACTCTAAATGCATAAAACTATGACAGTAATTGAATAAATCGAGATTGTAAGATGAATTTAATCAAGTCTAACTATTAAAATATTGTACAGAATTGAAATGTAGACTTGAATTTTATATTCAATTCATTTCTAATCATTTATGTGTTCGTAAGATTATTAAAACAAAAAAGAAATCACTCTATTTGTTAGCATATTTATTGAAGAAAGTATATAAAAAAAACGAAAGAGTTATAAGTTCATCAAGAAAATTATACTTGTTATAATTCATCGTAGAAACACATCATTGAACATATTATTATTATTATTTGTATTTAAGCAGATTCTCAGAATTTGACGAAACCACAAAAAAAACTATTTCTAATAATTTGTCGATATCATTGTATCAGGTTGTACTCTTGGATAAAGCTAGAAGATAGAAGAAAATGTTTTTAATCAATCAGAAACAATTTTGTAATTGTGATCATCAGTCTTCTAATAGATAGTATAGTTTGACAAGTTACTCTTGAACGACCCTCAATAATGTAGCATAGCATATGGTTAAGATAAAAATGTGAAACAAGTGATATTATGGACCTTTCATAAATCACTCGTATATCTATTAGCTATGTGCTGTCAAACATACATTATTGGGATCGGATTGTTTGAAAAAATAACGAGTAACTTTATTTATTTAGAATTTTTTAATCCTTCAAAATTATTTTTCACGGAATCAAAATGTTCTAATAAAAGCAATATCTTAGTAGTATCTTTAGGAGTTAACTAAACTCTGCAAATAAATATAGCTGAAGAACCTACACCAAGATAATTGCGAGGAATATATCCTTCTTTTCCATTATTTTCATGTTTTGCCCACCACCATTTTGTTTCATTTTCATCTCCACGTTTTAATATGGTTAATCGATCACCATCTTTAAATTCAAGTTCATCGCCAATGGAAGACTTTGAATCATAGTCATATAAAGCGTAAACGAGACTATCATTAATTAAACCTAAATCATTTTGCACGCCTGCAATGAAATAACTATTTTTTTCTACAAAACAATCAAATATTTCTTACTTACCTAAAAGATATTGAGAACAACTAATATAATTGTCTTCTTCTTCCTCACATTTCTCTGCAGCTGTTTCATTGTCTCGAATCGTCATTGCATAAATACAAGCACCGTGTTCAATTAAAAACGAAACCATAGATGTATTATTGCACGATGCTGCACAATGTAAGGGTGTCCATCCATCATTATCTGCATAGTTAATGTCACAACCAAATTCAACTAAAAATTTTACACATTCGAGATGAGATCCACACACTGCATTGTGCAATGCAGTTAAACCCTCATCATTTGGTTGACTTGGATTTTTCACCTGAATATTCAAAAAGAAAACAAAGCAAATTTAAAGAAATTGAAAATAAATCCAAAAACTTCATACTTCTTTTACTGATTTTATAAGAAGTTCAAAGTCTCCCATGACAGCAGCATCGAGCAGAAGAACTAATGGATCAAATATAACTCGTCTTGTCGTATTTTTTAATGTTGTTGAAGTTTTTAATAATGATTTAAGATTAAAAACAGACGTTGTTGTCGTTTTTGGTAATGAAATAATTGATTCAACATCTTCAGAAAGGGAACCTTCAGATTCTGTATCAGAAACAAATGATTCAGTTATTGTTTGTTGTTGCTGTTGTTCTCCATCGTAATTATCACTATTGATGCTAGTTTCTAGGTCAAGGAGATTTTCATGGGTAAAAATATTGGTTTTTGTATCTGACAACGATGAAGTAATTGATAAATCGTCACAAACATAAATTGGTTGTTGATTTTGTTCAAGATCTGCTGATAAAAATTTGATACATGTATCACTTGCATCAGATAATGAATGACGTTTTTTAATACTTGATGCTGCATTATTAAAATGAATTGAAAGTATATCATCATTTAAGCGAAGATTAGGTGGTAATAATTTTTCCTCAGTGTTCGATGGTGGCGATTCAATCATTTGTGTTGTTGCTTGCGTTAGCAGTATAGGTGTATTCGTAGAATGATACATTGGAATTGTTGATACTGTTGATGAGTCGATCATATATGTTGCAGCTATTTCATTTTTAGATGCAAATGCTATTTTAGACGAATGCACTGATGACGAACCATCTTTGATCTATATTTGAAAAACAAAAGGTAATAAATAATTCTGATGTAAACATATAAATGTTACAAAGAAATTTTAAGTAGTATATGTTTTTATCAAAAATTGATACGTTTTATTTTAAGCAGATTTGATCCGTTGAATGATTAGTTATTTGAAATTTAATGTTTATAAAACGTTTGCAGCATCAACAATGCATAAGAGTTTTTACGGATATCATGGTCTTTTGTATTCGAATGGAAAATATTAGAAATATACTTTTTTCAATCACTTCTATAACAAACTATGCAATTGGAATAGTGTATTCAATTTAAAATCCAAGAAATAGTTTAAATTATTTATTTCAAATGAAACTAAACACATGAAGAAAGCTCTGACGTGAGAAGCATTATATAGCTTTTATTGAAAAGTGTTAAAGTCGAATAAACGATACATATTCTTGTAGAGTTCAAAAACCGTAACATTTAGGAATACTTTAAAAGTTTCAATTCTCAAAAATGTTTAAAAAATGATTCAAAAGCCATGAAATCTACAGTTATTAGTTTTAATGATTATGTTTCACTACCACGGATAAAAACAAAACTAATTCACCTGTCTGATGAAAGCTATGAATGAACTTCTGCTTAATTTGATCGTATCTATGAGTCGATCAGAAATGATTGATCTAGTGTATGTTAGTAACTTGATATTAATATGATATTCTTTCTATGTATACAAGAGCTTGTTTATATTTTATGAAAGCAAACGGTTTGATTGTTGAGTTCTTCTCCAAAAGAAATTTTTAACTATTGTTTCTCGCTTAAATATTGACTGATTCAAATTAACAAGAACTTTCCTCTAGGCTAAGTCGAATCAGTGTGCGACGTTTATCTTCGGAATGTTTTACTATTCGTTCAATTGAATCGTATCATATTGCAAAATGGAAAATTTCTGATAGTCACACTCGTCAAGCCACCCTGATCTGAGAAAATTTCCTAATCAATTTCTGATTTTCTTTTTATCAAAAACATCCTATCAAAGTTGATGAATAAACCTTTTTTGAACTGTTGGAATCATTAAATTGACCATTTTGACTTGTAATTGAAGGTCCACTGGTACTACTTGAATTAAACGAATTTGCTAATCTTACCATACGTTTTTCAATTTCGATCATATTAATATTATTTAATGTATCTTCTACTATGCCTAAAGCAGTTTTAAAACCAATCGATGGTGTAAATGGTTCAGCTATTGTTGATTGAATTGAATTTGATGTTGTTTTCGTTTTCGTTTTCGTTTTCAAATGTTGCTGAAGTTCTTCTATTCGATGATCTAGTTGATTTAATTCAGCTTGCTTGGTTGTAAATATTTCACGTTGATAGGAAATTTTACGATTTTGTTGTTCATTTAATTTATTTCGTATCTAAATAAATATTTTCATTTCAATTCATCAAAGTAAACAAAACTGAAAGATTTAATAAAAATAATTCTACCATGAGTTCTTGCTTTAATTTCTCTAGTTCATTTTTGTTTTGTGATTGTTCTTTATTTGATGATATTTTTAATTTTCTTAATTGATCAAGTTGTTTAGTTAACTCATCGACTTTATTAGATGTTAGTGTTAATTCTTGTTCTTTATTTAAGAAGATTTGTTTTAATAATTCTAATTCATTTTCTGAATCAAATATGAAAATTTCTATAAAGAGAAAATATTTTATTTTCGAACAGACCAACGTTAGAATTTGCATTTTTTTGTTGATTTATTTGATTTTGAAGTGATTTCAAACGCATATGCTTCATTTCTTGTTGTTCAATATGTTGTTTTAGACGTTGAAAAAATATTTTTTCTTGTGTTGTTTCTTGTTGTTTAAGATATTTAAGATGTTGTTCACGTGAAACCAATAATTTATTATTATGCTCGATTTGTTCCTGTTGATGAGTAGCTATGACTTGCAAATTTGATAATGAATAATCTGTCAATCGAGCATTTCCATTTGACTAAAATTGTAATAAACAAAGAAAAACAGTTTTTTTCAAAAAGAAAATAATCATTTAAATGTTGATATTCTACTTGATTGATATTCATTTGTTGTTTATTTATATTGTATTCGTGCGATGATTGTTGTTGATCATTATTATTGTTATTGACCGAAGGTGAACGCATTGTACTTCGCCGTCGTTGAAGATATTGAGAGCGATGATTGTCTAACAAGATAAAGAAGAAAATGAAAGAACTTATAATCAATGTAGACAACGATACACAAGGGTCAAACTTTTTTTCTTCACTGATCTTTTTCTAATAGAAATGCTACTGGTATGTATTGTGTTCTTAATGGTCAATAATAATAACGATATGTGTAAAGAGAAAAAAATGAGGAGGAAAGAAGAAATTCTCTGTTCAATGAAACAACTGTGGTAACTCACTTGAGAGAATAGAAAAATTAACGTTATTGTCATGAGAGAGGAAAAACGAGAGCTTTTAGTTCTTGATCAAATTACATAACCTATTATAGGTAATGATATTTATTTCAAAATTCGACACTCGATAACATACCATTTACATGACGTACGACAATTTTGAATTCTTGAATTGTTTGATAACGATTTATTACATCAAATAAACAATCATCAGATGAAATTTCTCGTTCTAAACAATACTAATATCTAGTAATTAATGGCCGAAATCTTCTTACCAAATCCAAAACATGTTTCGATTAATCGACAAGTACTTGGATCAGGTGTATAGCGTCTTAAAACATCTTCACATGTTGTCTTTTCATTGATGTAAATAATCTGACGTGTATATCGATGACGCTGACTTGAATATGAATAATAGAGACAAAGTTGAAACTAAAATAATATTTATATCAGAAAATATTTCATTTGTCTTGAGAAAAATTACTTTATCGTTGTTTGACATTATTCATGTTTATGTGAATAAAATTCGAGGTGAATTAATGTTAATAATATCAATAAATTTGATTTTAATCCAATAGACTTACACATTTACATTACTTTTCAACAGAAGAGATATAGTCTCTAGAACAGAATGCATTAGCGAAATCGAACAACAATAAAGAACTTTTTGAACATAAAATTTAAACCATAAATTAGCGACCACTATCATAAAACTTCTTCAATCTATCTAATTTTCATCATGTCATATACTGATCTCTCAAAAATCGGCATCCTAGTTGAAACAAACATTATGTGTCTGCGTATCATCATGAAGAGACAAAAACGATTGGGAAAAGGAATAAATTTCAATATTCATTAATTTTTTTTCTTTTTACCGCAATTCTACGAAGTGCATGATGTTTTTGCATCCTTTATCAATATTACAATGATTAAATGAGTCTTTTATTTGAAAAAATCCAATACAATTCATTTAGAGTCAAGTATTGAAGAACAAACGATTCAATTTAATTTAATTTATTTGTTTATGAAAATCTATATTTACTGTTGGAAAAGACCATTGCGATGAACCATCTCTTCCACTACTGTGATCTGTTTCAACTACTGTGGATTCTCGACGTAAAGGATGTTTTTTAGATTGCAAATGAATTCGATGTTGATTGTATTGATATCGACATAGGAAATGATGGTGCCTGATTATTATTTGAAAGAAATAGTGGTGGCCATTGCTGAGAAGTCTTCGGAAGAGATGAGCAATTATGTATTGGATTATTTACCATAGATAGAATTTCCAATATACTACTATGTGTTAGTTTTGCAGAAGAAAGATAAAAAATATGAATATTAGATCAATTATTAAACTGTACCTATCTTTATTGAGTTGTGTTCGTACATTGGAACCTAGGTTTTGTTGTTGTAATGCATTGTTACATCTAAATAAACTTGATAGAATTTTTTATAAAAGAAGAAAAACAAGTTTCTTCTTCGTACAATACCTAAATATCCATAAACAATATAATCGAATTCTTTTACATAGTGATTTCGGACAACATTAAACAATATGTGGAGATCTTTCTTGTGATGAACCTTTATATCGGCATATCATCCATCCTAATGCTAATGCAACAAATATACCAACAACAGTTGGTCATATGATATCTTTATTATCATAATATGTCGACTGTTGGACATGTTGAATAGATATTTTGTTGTTTCAAGATTATATAATTCGATCATATTTGAGTTCTATAGTAAATATTAAACTAAATATAAAGTTTATCTTGACAATTAATCTCTACCGTTTACTTTATTCATCATAGAGAACAATATAATCAGTGTACCATTGTTTTAGCATAGTAAAGAGTTGCCTGGTATATTATCACGGGCAGAACAAACGGTCAAAAGTACTTTCTCATTTCTAATAATCTCTTGTTTTCTTGATAAGAAAAACAATGAATAGAAAAACTACATTGATTTTTCTATGTTCATGGCACACATTTTCTCTGAAGTGAAAAAGAAAAAAAGAAACTAAATGAAACATACTTCAATAAGAAACAAAGCGGTTGTTTGTATGTCAATATTGCTTAAGTACAAAAAAAGAGATATTCAACGAGAAACGCTTCTTTTTAAACACGTCTACTCTCATTCAAAAACAAAAATGAATAGAAAAACATGATAAGAAAGAAGCATAAATAAATTTTTTAGTTTATCTATTTACAAAAAGTTTTCCAGTAGTTTTTGATTATTTATTCCTTTCATTCAAATATTTTATTCTCTTAACATTGTTTCACTTTCTGTTTTTCATCCATGTCTAACATTCAATTAATATTCGATTGATAATTAAATTTTAGTGAGAACTTAAAAGATGTAATCTATTGAAAATAATTTTATTTTGAATCGGAACGAAGTCGGAAGCGTTCCAGAATCGATTCAATCTATCTTGTATTGCGTCGAGGATATGCTGAGAGACTTCGAAAGTGAAATCAACATAAATATTTATGTTGGTTAGAATAGTCTCAACTCATCACGAGTTTAACTTAAACTGTAACACGTACTGCATCCCGAATGTGATGATAGGAGACTATAAATGAAATATCTCTTTTGACCAATTATTATCGTTTATTGAAATGCGAATGACTAAACTAATATGATTTATTTTTTCAAAGTAATGATTGTATTGATTTTTTAAACGATTTTCTTCTAACAAAAATATAATAAAGCCATATTGAATGAAATTGAATTTTAAATCGAAATTAAGCTTTATTATTTTTCTTGAATTTTTATGCTCATCGTGGATGTTTTCGATTTTTTATCACATGTATTCAATTTCATATTTTTGTTTTTGCTCTTGTTTTGGCATTGATCTTATCCGTACGTATATGTTCAAATATCATCTTGCATAGGAACGCGCTAATATTTTTATACAGGCATCTATCATTCAAGTAGACATGATAAATTTGAGTCGAAAAACATTTCGAAAGTGGTACAATCACCTTCAGACGTACCATGTGCTGTCTATCTGAAATATATATAAACTCTAATCTATAAAATAAATATTGTATAAATATGCATTTGTTACTGGTTTATCATGGACGTATAAAAACCCTAGAGAAGACGTGATTTCAGGAAAGACAAATAGACAAGCAGTTAGTTTGAACTATATTTACTGAGTATTTTGTTGGTACTCTTGCGATGCTCTATTTAAAAAACAGTTTGAAAACATACATTATTATAAAGTCTATAAATATTAAAATAAAAACAGCACTGCAACCGATTGTCTGAATCTTTCATTGGAATACACTAAGTGTTCTCGACACAATTTAAAAGGATATTATTCGATTAAAAACTGTCATTGTCGAATGAGTAGGGAGCCATGAAATACATAAATGTCTCTTAATATCGTTTATTTAAGATGATAAAGTAAAAAGAAACAAAAACAATTATTAAAATAAGTTATTTTTCTTTTTTTAAAAATTTTTCATATTCAAAACGTTTACGGGATTTTTTTACGCACATTGTTATTACAAGAATAAAGTAAGAATGAACAGTTTAAAAGTGGAGACATTATCTTTCATTCTTAATGAAGATGAAAATATTTCATAATACTTATGTTCGTCCAATAATTATCATTGAATACATTTGAATTCTAACAGAAGATTAACCATCAGTTTGTTTGACAGATTCAAATATTGGCACACATCATAATATTTAATAATAGAAAATTTAACTGAAACAAAATATGATTTATTTTTAAAATAGAAGCAATTACTTATGAAATAAAGTTTATATATATGTAAGAATTTGTCGTAGTGTTGATGAAATATTCACACCAACCAATTTCCATTCTAATGAGGAAAAATCAAGTATTTCTAAAATATCTTTTTGTAATTGTGAATCTTTGCTATCAGGTCTTCTAAATGAAAATTATATTTTGTAATTTTTAGTAAACGATAAATAATTGACTTGCCTGAAAATCTTAAAAAGATATCTTTCAGAAAATGCTGCAATACCACTAAATTGAGTAAATGTTATCTTTGAATTTGATGGCAAATCAAGCAAAACAATCATTTGTCCTATCAGCCGATTATCAAAAGTGCCCATGTATGCATCAGATAATGCATCGGGAAGGACCTATCAAGTTTTACATGTTCAATAATTTTAATAATATAGTTAATTAGAAGAGTTTTCTTTCTTCTTACCTCCACCTTTAACTGCGCCTCATTATCTTTATATTTATCAAAAATACGTTTATAAACTATCCATCGACGATGATTTATTCGACAATATTTTTCTAAGTATTCTTTCGGTGTAAGTGCTAAACAAAAAATATTGATCATGATTTTCTTTTCTTTTTAATATTATAGAAATTTTACTTTCAAGAATTTTTACATCGAAAGGTATCCAAAATCGACTTGTTTTTTGTGATAATGCAACATTACTACTATCTGAATAAGAATAAAATATCTAGAAAATCGAAAACGAAACACATTTATATGATTGAATTATTGTTTAATATTACCTACGTCATTCGTTTTTGCAGAGAGACCATTGAGATTTTTGTACATCGTTGAAATTTTATCGATTTGATAAACCTAGTTTTTGTCGTTTTAAATCTTTCAATTATATTTTTAATATGAAGTAAGCTTCTATTACTTCACGCGTATGTAAAAAATACAATTGATTAGAGTACTTGTTGCTGTCTTGATTTCTATAAATGTGTTCGAGTATAAGCAATTTAACAATTATAATAAGACATTCATACGATATACAATAGAATAAATACTTGAAAACTCTCTAGTTTCAGGTGATAATTTAACTCACCGGAATAGAGAGAAAAAATCATTCTAGTTTTTAAAAATGGAAAATATTTATCGTTGAGCCGTTTGTAACGAGAGATAATGGTCGGAAAATAAGCACGTCGACTATGTTCGATATTTATCTTTTGTAATGAACATTTAATTGGAAAAATAATTGTTCGTCTTCTGAACGATAACATATTGAATCAGTAGAAGATGCTTTTGTTACTGCTCTTTGCTCGTCTAAAATCAACTTTCAATACGATATATCGGATTTTTTTGAATCTTTCTGGCAATATTTAGTCAATGGAAGTGCAGCAACAGAAAAATTTTCTCGTTCTCTCTAAATTTCTTTATTCATGAGATCCCAAGGGGCAAGAGTACAAACTAAAACTCACAAGGATATAAGTCTATTCTTATTTTAGAACAATTGATAGTTAATTACTGAAATAATTGAAAATCTAAACATTTTAGGTATCGATTTCGAGAAAATTTGACTTGTTTTAAAATTAAGGTCAAGTGCACGACTCATTTCATCGATTCTGAAGAGAATTCCTTTGTCGATTGAATAAAAAATAGAAATATCTTTTAATGAAACATATTACATATCTAAGATGTATTCTAAGAAAATATAAGATCATTGACGTAATAAATTTCGACATGATATATATTTTTCTCTAGATCGATACTAATATCTTATACATGGGATATATAACGATAAAAGAATATATATTACATTAGCGTATTATTTATTCCATGGTTTGCACTTTTTTATTAGCTTGTTTCTACTTGTTAACATGACTATTTCCAGTTGTCATAGTAAAAATTAGATAAAAGATCAATTCAAACATATAAACTAACAGTGCAAATATTATAATTATATAGCTATTCTTTTAACTCACATAAATATTATTCAAATATTAGCTCTCTTTTTATTTCTATAAAACGAATGTTTATCTTTATAATAATCTATTTGCCAGTTACGGGGTACCTTTTAGCTACTATTTTTAAATACAAATAAAACAGTCGAAATTTTATATTTAGGATGTTCTTTTGTTGTGAAATAATTTATTCTATTATAAAACTGTTTAAGTTCTCAAATAAATTACCTGTGTTCTTATTATGTTGTTTTCTATTACTAATGACCTTGAATTTCCATCGAGTCAAAGAAACTAAATCAAATTCAAACTCATGGCAGATATTGTGAAAATATGATCTTCAACTGTACATCAATAATATCGTTTTATAAGCTACAGTTCTTAATTGTATATTTGAAGACTTCAGTAAGAGAATGCTAAGAAAATATATCCAAACACAAATAGAATAGAACAGCCTGCTGATTATAAGCAATAATAGTTATATTGTCGTCTAAATTTTAATCGTATATGATTGCGATAAAAGTTTATTTTGTAGATAAAATGCAAAATCAATTGTCAGATATAGAACTTCACAGTCTATATATCATGATATATTCAAATCAACAAATGGCAGGTAAACTAATCAAATTCGACACATCGACAGATTATATATAGAAACACAATGAACGTAAACAATTTAACAATTATAAGCATGACGCCAAGATAATATTTAAAAAATATACTGGAATGATTTTATATTCAAATAATTTATTTTGTACATATTCTAACTTAAAATATTTTATATAGTCTTGTGTATCGAACTATAAATTATTTCAGTATATATTTTTATACATTCATTTTTGCTGAATCCTAGAAAATTTCATAAATTGTAAAAATTAAGAAATAAAACATTCTATTTGACTACATGAATTCAAACAACATAAAAATAGTATGGAAGCTTTTATTGATATGAAACTATCACAACAGATTAAAGTCAACAAATTACGCTCAACACCATGGCTTTAGATGTTCTGTAAAAATCAGAATATATTGGTATCTGCTGCAATAATTGTGAATCAGATCTTCATCGGTAAAAATCTTATCATATATGCTTTTCGAAGCATTTCACACTGCCCTTTTAACTGCCTATCTTTTCATTATATTATCTATACAGAATGCTAAAACGAGCTTTGAAAAAAAATTTGAAGGATATTATAATTTTACTTATTTCAAAAGTCGCTTATATTCTTCATCATTCTCATGAAAAATTTATTTAGGATTTAATTCCAATGTTTTGTAGAATTTTACAATATCCTTTATATATCACTTTTCATAAGCTTCCATACGACTGTAAATATACAAAAAGCTACACTATGAATCTAGCTTAATTCAACCAAAATTTTTATTCAACAGTACATTTTTATTTTCTCGAACAAACTTCAAAATGATCGTTGCAAAACAAAACCAAGGCACATTAAAACATATTTTTATGTAGTCATTTATTCAATATCTGCCGCTGTTATAAATTACACTCATATTCATTGTTTTTTCTTATGCTAATGAGATATGACTTTCAATTGAACTGATAGAAAATGTAGATAACGATCGGTGCATGATACGATTTTTAACCATAAAATTATCGTCATAAATAAAATCGAGCAATGGTTGACTCAATTCAATATCTGGTTAAAACAAGAAACCGAATCATGAAAGAGAAAACTGAACTAGTCAGATGATTCAATATCACAGATAAGAATTTTATTGAAAGAAAAAATAATATCATTCGAGAAAACTAAATATCGTCAGCATCAAGATTTATTTTCATCGATGACATTAATGATACTCTTTTTAATGTTGCCACAGGTGGTAATGGTGATATATCTTTTGAATTAATATACATATTAAGTTTTCTTGATGGAATATCTTTAAAATAATTATTAGCACAAGTTGTTGATAGAGAGGATGAATCGAAACTGCGAAATTTATTTTGATTTGTATTTGTGTTTAATAATGTTGTAAATGTATCTGAATCAATTGCTGTATGCGGACTCGATGATGAATTGGATGTTGATCTGTGAAAGTTATTTTTATCATCTATACGCCGACGACAATGGTAACAACATGATCGATACATACAAAGTATTAATAAACAACCGAATAAAAATGATATCAAACTAATTAAAATAAGCTGAAGAAAATTAAAGCGATATTCATTGAAAAATTCTAACACTGAAGGACATAAACATGAACGTTCTTCACGTGATAAGCCATTACATGAATTTGTAAGACACGTACGAGTACGATATTTAGTTGAATAGGACCGAATGGATGAACATGATGAACAATCAGACCAATCTGTCCAACAAGACCAATTATTTTTCAATTGTGAAGAACAAGATAAACAATCACGTATTTCGACGTCTTCACCAAAACAATGACGATCTAAGCAAGTACGACGACGAGTTTGTGTCGAACCAGTAATATCACAAGATGGAAAACATTCTTTAAAATAGAAAAGAAGCACCTAATCCTGATTATAGTTGATTGATTATTTAAAATACTGACCGCTCCAATCAGACCATGATGACCAATCATCAGGCGGATCTAATCAAAAGAACAATTATTTGTAAATAAAAGTTTGAATCATATAGAATGAATAAATAAATTTCATTTTATATAAATGTAAGTAGAAGAATTTATCCTGCATATAATAAATGTTAAATGAAGAATAGAAATTGACAATTTCAAAATTCAATTACGTAATCTTACGTATACCTAAAATCATGAAATATGTCATAGCTTTTAAATTTCTATTACAAGGTTTTCATCGAATAGAAAATCAACTCATCGTAAAAACTAGCCTAATGTTGATCTCATTGGAAAACGCTGGTTTTTTTAATACAGTTTACTTGTCTTTTAAAGTTTTCATTCATTGTGAGTACGACAAATCAATTTTTTTCATTTTAAAAATGTCGGCGTTGAAATTTATCTCATTGGTGATGTACTAGAGCGGAACTATTCGAATTAGTATAAAGTTTGTACCGCATGTGTTACTATAGTTCAAATTGTAAAAAAAGAACTTTTGGAAGAAAACTACAATTGTAGTTCTATTTCGTTTAACGTTCAATAGTAATTTTATGGTGCTTTCTGTCTTAAGATTTATGCTACTTAATATGAAACGAATATTTTTCGATGGATCTCAACTGACTTTATGAATATTCTACAACACACAAGAAATAAATCGTCTGACAACTTTGACTAGTAATTGCATAATGTACATAGTCAATTATTTCTAATTGTCAGTAGAAACACCTTCGTTATGAAAGAATGAAATTTGAACAAAATATAGATGATACTTATTAAATGGTCTTTTTAAACTCCTAATTGTATGTAATTAATTCAAAAAATTATTTAAACCGATTTCTAATAAAAAAATATATAAACGAAAGAATTCGTTATTATTATGATTATACATCGTAAGTAGCTAGTAGATGCTCTAACTTCATGTTTGCTATTAGCAATTCGATAATAAGTATTTTTCGAAAAAATGAATATTTTATAAAAAAAATAAGAATTATATTAAGTGATAATACATCTCTGTAAATAGTTGCACATTTTATATTCTCTAGGAGTATTCAAGAATTTGAGAAATATTGCAAGACTATGTAATGGAAGACTTGAATATTTATTTCTTGATTATATTTAGCTAATAGAATTTACCTGTTTGCTGACAATTATCTCCTTCCTGATCACACACTCTATGAAGAACTTTATCTGAATTTATTTTTAATAATTGTTGATCAGATGACGAATAAATTGTGCAAACAAAACGAGTCCGTGTTTCTGTTATCATATCATTCCCATTCAATTGATCTTTAAGTGTAGTTCGTGTCCAATTACTCCATATTGCCACTGGTTGGGCTATTAGAAAAAAAATCATTTCAATCTTGTAGTTTTAAAAAAGATCTAAGACATACTTGGACAAGGTAATTCATTGCATAAACGCATTTCATTCAAACATTCAGTACATTTTTCATGGTTACTTAAACATGATCGTCGTCGTTTTTGCATTCCACTACCGCATGATTTCGAACAAACATCCCATTCTAAAATAAATAAGTATCACGTTTTTTGAAATATTAAAAATCAATAGCACACGCTTGTTTGGAGCTAGAATGTAGAATTTGCATGTTTTCTATAGGCTCATTAAACTGAGATAAACGATCTTTTGTATGAGTATCTGTATGTACCTCAGGTCGTTGCAATGATGGTAAACACTATTGGATTTGGCACTATTATATTTCGTTTCTATGAACTTGATATTATCCAAAATATTATGTTTACACAATATCTCAATACTATAAATAATATTTTTCAATAAGATCACAAACACTACTGTTAAATACTTTCCAAATTGATAACTTACTCAAGTTACGCTTTTTACGTCAATTGTGTGATGAATATACTATATTACTCAATTATTACCTCTCATTTGTGGTCTCTTCAATAAAAAATTTATCTGTACAAAGAAAAATAAAAATTACACAATTGAGATTGTTGAAAACGTCTTTACTGTAGTCTTGAATAAAATATGCCAACTAATTAATCGTGTTCGGTACTTATTTTCGATCTCTATCAACTTCGAAAAAGGCAGATGATGTTCTAAATTACTGTAGAAAAGTATCGAACAAATATTACACTTTCTTTCTCCTATACATATTAAATAGTTAGACTCATTGGATATCCATGACAACTTTCGTTTAAATTTCTATTTACTAATTTGTTTTGGACACTATATTATGTGAATTCAACAACAACAAATATATATTTACCAGTCCAGCTACTTAATCTTGAAGTTTCATTTGAACAAATTATTTCAGGACATGGTTCTTCGTCACGTTCAGGTCCAATACATATTCTACCATTATTTTTTGGTTTAGGATTTGTGCAAGTTCGTGCTCTTGATCGAAATAGTTTCCCACATTTTTGTGGACATATACTCCAAGTACTCCAAGGAGACCACCCACCATGAACTATTAGAAATAAAGTAATATATCTAGGGGAAAACAAACAAAATTATTTATTTTTCTTGTACTTTCACATTGATTTATTTCAATAAAATTTCCTTGACAAAGTTTTCCACCAAATTGAGGTTTTGGTTGCGTACATGTTCTTGTACGGCATTGGCAAGTTTCACCTGTTTCTTGTTGGCATGTAGACCATGATGACCAAGATGTCCAACTACCATCCACTAAATAAAGATGTAATTTAATCAATTCAAACAAAAACAAGCGATGAGACCCATATACTTGTTATATTAAGAATTGGACATGTTAATAATTGACGAGAATTTTTCCATGATAGAAGTTTAGAAAAAGTACATCGTTGATAATAATTATCCCATGTACAATATGGATCCATCGCAGCAGAACATAGATGACTTGTATTGAATCGATTACATCGTGCAACAGATATTTTTAATACAGATTTAGATGTTGTTAAGATTATTTCTTTCTGCATTATATGAAAAAATACTTCCTTAGATTAATTTCAAAGAAAAATAGAAGATTATTTTGTTTTACTTTTTGTGAAATAAATTCTGCTTTATTCACTTTCCACTCATCGGAAGAAATCATCGATGGTTTCAATTCAATTTGTTCAATTAAACACAGTTGCCTATCATTTTCATGGACTATTAAAGAATATTTTCTTAACCACAAACCATCCAAAGTAATAACAAAGAAAATAGTTAGATCATTAAAATGATCAACTAATAAATGGCCAATACGTATATCGTCGAATATAAGCGCGTTAAATGATGATTGTAAAACCTTCGATCGAAGTACAGGTCCTGATGATACTGGTAATAATTCGTTTGATAAATTTGAATCACACTAAAAAATTAATTCAAAATAAATCAATGATTCTCAAAGATAGATCTCATAAGTTAAGATTTTTCCTAAATTTTTCTTTTCCATTAATAAAATAAATTAATATCATTACGTACCGACAAAATACTAAAGAGCTTAGCCATAATAATGTAAGTAAGACCTTTTGAAAAGGTAAAATGTTAACAAAACTCTTTTTCTTTTGATTTAGAATAGTTTTTAAATATGAACAATAATTTGCAACTGAGAATCAAGATATTTTCTTCACTTATTTTAGATTTCCTTGATCTACCCCGAACATGTTTCTTATTCATGTTAGGATTAGTCATCGAAGACAAAATACACTTTAAGTAGCTGTAGTTTATTTTATATCGACTTTGACATAGTGTTTGTTTTTCATTCATATTCAAATAGTTCCAGATTTTAAGCCATTAATAATATAAAACGCAATCCTTAGCCAAACAAAATTCAATATATCCTCAACGAAAATCTATTGAGTTTATTTTTATGGGAAAAGACGCACTGCTTGCTTCTGATAGTGGTGAATCATACTAAGTTTTATACAAGAATTTAGATATTCTACATAAACCAATTATTCATGTATGCACGAAAAACGAAATAAATATCATGTTGCCTACTACTTCAGTTGAGCATCATGGTTGCGCTACGGACTCAGATCCTATTGCTGTGCAACTATTTTACTTTTTCCATATCTTGTTCTGTTGAAGAAGATGGCATCCAATATGAATCATTTGATTTCTGCGTTAGAAATGACGATTTGAAGGCACTTTCAAGTTGTTCAACCGTATAAATACAAATAGCTGATCCAATTAGACCACTTCTAAAATAATAAGGATCATTTCTTTTCCGATAAACAAGCAGAAAATAAATTCTTTGCTATTCTTTTACTTTGGTACGTTAAATGCTCCATAAATTAAGTTTAATGAAGAATGAAAATAAATTGATTGAAGTTCATTAAAATCAAATGAATTTATTTCATTCAATAATTTTTTTGAACATAATAAGCGTAATTTGGAGTACGAACGAAATGTATCACTAAATTGCATTGCACCATCATCATATTTACATACACGTGCAAGACGAGAGTAAACATTCTAATTAAAAACAAAATTGGAACAAAAGATTTTAAATGAATTTATTGTTTACCGTTCCACATGACAGATGTTCAAGAGATGTTTCACGGAAAAATGTATACATATATTGACCAATATTTAATATTCGAACAAAATACGGATCTAAAAGAAATAAAAATATATGCAATTGAAGAAAATAAGCAAATAATTTCTATTTAAAATTGACTTTTTAACCAATTCGAATCATGTTGTTGTGTTCGTAATTGTTTTTTTAAACTAAAACTTCTTTGTATTAATGGGTCATTAACACCAAATATTGGCTCATTAATCGTTGCAGAATACAATTCTCCTGTTAAAATATAGATTAATTTATTTTCTATTTATTCTAAATAAATACCGGTATCAATAAGGTTGTATACAGATAAATATTGACTATTATACGGAGATTTTCCACTACCAGAAATAAACTTTTCATTGGAAACAAATGTTGAAAGCGAATCTGGACGACGCCAGACACATATTGGATGGTATGCATTTGTTCCACAAGTAAGTAGTGATTGATCGTGAGATCGAAGGGCTATTACGCGAATATAATTTTCACATTCATTCTAGATTTAAAAAAAACGCTATTTAATGTTGCAAAAAGTAAGATTTAAAGATATAGTTACATACAAATGTTTGGATTTGATTATGACATATAGTTTTTTCATTTGTTGATGATTCCCATTTAAATCTTTCTAATAATTGAAAATCACCAAGAGACAAACGAATTATGACATTTCTAAATTTTTGTCATTTACATTTAATTATTAGTTTAACAAATGAGAAAACGTTTCCAAATAGAGAATTGTTTTTTCCTTAGACTCCGTGAACATATTAGACACAAATCATTTATAAAAACCCTGAAAAAATAGTGATGGCTTCTAGATTTTTCCGAAAAAAATTTAAACAGTATATTTCATTTATGAGATACTCAATTCATATACCACAAATCTCAGATACTTGACTTTGTTTTAGGCATATGAGTCGCTTTTGAGAGTTAAATAATTCATGAATCGAAAATCATAGTTACAAGTAGACGTCAATATAAGAAATATCTTAAATCAAAGTATCATCAACCGACTCATTTACACATACAGTACTAGAAACTAAAATTTCATTGGAATAAGTATCGATAACATTTTCCGATAGATTCACTTGCCTTTATGCTTGTTGAAATTCTCAAGGGGGAAAGTGCAGGTTTGGAACCCCCAGAACCTCAGCACCTTTTCTATAGCGAGATTTACTTTAGCCGTATGGAAATGAATCGGGAAAACTACTTTCATTTTCAATAGTAGAGGTGAATTTTTGCTTGGCTGATACTTGATAGTTTCAAACAGAATAATTCCTATGCGACTGAATATAAATATTATATTTGTTTTAAGCACAAAATCTGAGCAGATCAAATTATTTCTACAACTTTTGTTTTCGGTCAGATTTTTACGTCTGGTCTTCTTCAGGATTATATGAAAACAAAATATTTTATTCAAAGCAACTATTTGATTGATTATTGATTGATCTAGTTTACCTCAAACATCATTCCCAAACTTTGGAAACTTTTAACATTGTCCACATGGCTTTTGGAGTAAATTAATTTTTTTAGCTATCCATGACGGGGACCAGAGGTGAAAATCTGAACGAAAACAAACGTTGTAGAAATAATTAAGTCGAATTAAATTTTGTGCTTAAAAAAATATAATATTTAAATTCAGTCAAGTGGGAATTAATCTGTTTGAAACTATCGAATATCAGTCACAAATGACAGAAATCCAGTTTCAAGAGTAGTATTGGAGTGCAAACGCTTCATATTACAAGACGTTTTAATTTAAAAACAGTTTTATTAGAAAGAGGACACTCACAGTTACGTATTCGATAAGAAAATCTTTCTGGAAAACGTCGAAAAGCTACACTACATAAAATTGAGAATAGCATTATTTCTAACGGCATGACGCAATCGGGGCGGTATTTAGCATTTATCGATAAAACAAATTTTGAATATCTTAGTCGTTCTTATATGCTCTGATAGACAAAAACATTCTGTATCGAAGGGGCCTATTTTCAAACAGAGTAAATCGAATATTCATGAACCTTTGGGCCAATAGCTGTTTTTAAGTCTTCCCGAGAGTGCTTCAGATCTTTCTTAGTATTCAATGAATTTTAAAATCTAAAATGATATTTATGATTAGGGAACTTAGCGTTATCGAAATATAAGTACTTGCATTAAAATCTGAACAACACGTTTTTTCGATCCTTGAGGGGGCTTCAAGTGTTAAAAATTGAGTTTTCATGAAATACATAATCCCAGGTCGAAGAATCCGACCTGGAAACGACCGGTTCCGGGTAGTTTCGTTGATTTTATGGAAGCAGTATTCCGGTTGGAACATTTTCGGATTTTTTCCGATGATTTACGATCAATTTCTGCCGGAAAGCGCCGGAACTTGGCAGAAATTCGCCGGAAAAGTCCGGTCGGATTTTTTACGGGAATACTACGTCCATGTTCCAGCGATTTCCCGTGTTTTCCTGCAAAATATGATAACTTTCCCGCATATTTCCTGAAGTATCCTACGGGATCCGGTGGTCGAAATGTTCGACCTGGGATGAACTCATGAAAAATAATCATAATTCAATGATGATTCTCAAGCTAATAAAATTAGATGCAAACTTTCTGTGAAGTCAGGCTCCTAATTTCGCACACCTCTTTTTTGATCGTGCAATTAGTGTATTCGCCAAGACTGAGGGAGAACAATCAGTTTAACAGAAAATTTTGTCGTCCTGTCGTATACCACTCCTTTATTTTACTGTTCCTTTTTCACAACTACTAACATCCTTATAAAGTTTCAGCATCTTTGGCGCTTGGTGCCAGCACTTTCCCCCTTGGGAATTCTGATATCTTCTCAAGATCTATTTTATGGGAAGAATTTCAACTAAAACCCAAGCACCAATTTCGGTCAGATTCTTTCAAGACTTTATTTCTTTTTCAATTCCTATCATTCAATATTTTTGACTAGATATAGCAGCAATGATAAGAGTAATCGATATCTTTACTTTGCTCCAACAATAATCTGATCTTGTTGTTGATCGATTGTAATTGCATCAAACATATGATCATCATCATTTTGATAGACTTGCGCACTTGTTAATAATTCTAAAATAAAACAGTGTCAAAGTTCTTTGGAAAATAATTTGTCAGAATATTAGTTTAATGAAAAAGTATTTTCAACTATTATAGTTGTTTACTAATGATCTAATAATGATGTCGAAATGATGAGCAGTGCCTTTTGTAAGTCGTAAGACAACTGAAAACATAAAATACGTTTGCGCTTTATTTATCATCAAAATCAATGAACGAATTCAAAATAATACATTTGTGAGTAGCAAATTTCTCTATTTCAATGAGTAGTAACTGTTTCGAAAGTAAAAATAATTCGTTTTTGTGTACTCAAAAAGAAAAAGAGTACACTATAGAATCGGTCAGTGTGTCCGGCCGTCCGTTTATTCGATAACTCTTCACAATTACATTCGAGTGAGCTGAAATTTTGTGCACAGAATTGTCTTATCAATATCTAGGTCGAGTTCGAAGATGAGAAGGATCCGTCAAGAAATGGCTGAGTTGTCGAAAAAATTGTCATTTTTGATCAGACCATCCCTGAGGGGGAGTACAGGGATTTTTCAAAAAAAAAATTTTCTCAGAATTATTCACAACATATATAAATCGACTCAGTTTTTAACGCTGATTCTAAATCTGATATTAGTTTTGAACTAAGTCATAGCTTTCTAACGAAACATCGCCTGAAAAACGTCTCAAAATTCACAAAAACTCCATCCAGAAATCAAATTGTCTAGTTTCTCATGATAATTTTCGTGTTCAGGCATTCTAGAATGACTCATATGTCGCATGCACTTTTTGCAGTACACATAACTCTCGGATGAAATCCGAAGTTTCCGCATTTATTTTTTATACAAACAATCATTATGAAAATATATTAATGTTCAGGTATACATACCATTATACGAAATCAAACGAAAGTCAAATGATTTATCAGCGATAAGCGAACAAATATTAAATAGAAGAAGATAAACAATAACCAACAATAATTTCTTCATAGTATTTTGTTTTTGTTCAATCTAAAATAATATATATATATATGCGTCTGAACAATTACGAAACACACGAATGAGTATCAAAAGAGAAAAAAAAGATGAAGAAATTTTTTCTTTCTCTCCTTTGCCTTTTGGCCTTTTTTCATTACTTTCTGTGTTCAAGACAACAAAGAATATTTGAATCAATATTTCTTTCTCTTTTTCTTTCAATACGGAAATAAAAGGCGAGGTATGAGTTCAACAATCCTAACGAATCAATATAAGAACAAGAACATCCCATTGATTGAACGGTGACTTTCTTTGTCGAGTCACGTTTCTTCTATTCAAAAATGATCCATAATTACATAAAACAATTATAGAATAGATTAATAAAATCTGATTTGATTTTAATACAATCATCCTACGAATTAAACAGATGGAAAAAAAACCTTTTTTTCTCTCTCAATATTATATCATATGATAACATCAAGAGAAAACATTCTAATAGCTTATCGTGTTTGAATAACAATCGAACTCATCAATTCGAATAGATCTTACAATTTATTCCATATGTTCATCTTTGTGAATATTTACTGATTGAAGCTTGATAAAAATATAATAATAATCAGGCAAATGATTTTCAGTATGTCTATTCAATCTGATAATCTTTCAGATAAAATCTCACGTAAGATGTTGATAAATAAATGAATTTTTGTTTTAGATGATTATAAAACGATTATTGTAATCTAATATTGGATAGGATAAGTACAGATATGCACAAATATTGAATCATATTCATGAGTAACGAAAATCTTGTTTGTCTTTTCTTTTGTGTGTAATTCTTAAATAATTCGTATAAGATAATACTTACAATGTTCTTTGGATGTAGCTTTTAACACATTTACTTGTTCATCAATAGATCGATTTTGACACGTCCGGGTCAATTATTTTATTTTGTGTATATAAAACTATGCCAAATAAACAACGATCGTCAGCGACTATTATTGATTGAAGGAAACGCTGAGAAAAAGAAAACTTGTTACATCATATTGGTCCACACAAGATTTGATGTACGTATTGTCACTTAGTCACACCTCATACTTCTATTATCGACTATGCCATCAGAATGAATATGTAAAAGAGTAAGGAGAACACAACTTAATTGATTTTTTTTATAGATGCCAAATTACGTCGATAAATATAAATATATAGACATACATACGTAGATATTATATAACTCGAAATGCTTAAGATCTATATGATTGACAGGAGACGTGGAGAAGTCGATGATTCGATTAATATCATTATATAGAAGAATGAAAATAATAAAAAAAGAATATGGCTGTTCAGGGATGCATATATAAAGTCAATCTTAGACAGGGTAAAACAAACATCTTTTTGATGATGCCAATTTTTTTTATTCATTTTGTTTGTTCAAAACGAAAACTCTTCAGAATATCGAATGGTCAATTTAAGTTGATCATAGGATTATATTATTGTAGTATACATACATATATATAGGGAGAGAGGGAGAGTTCGACTCTTTTAAAATGAAGGTATAGAAAACAGACAGATGCCTACGAACAAAAGATCGAAGAGAACAAAAAGAAATGAAGATTTCTGGCACATAAACATAGAACTTTTTTTTCATAATTTACTACTAATAATAACAATAACAACTAATTCATTGATCCCTAACTTAGTCTTATGTCCAGTCTCGTTCTTTGTATACAATAGTTTTGATCAAGACATGAACAGAGATGAAAATAGAACATCACCATTTTGACATTTTCATAATTGTTTTTCTTTTTTTTCTGCCCGAATAGAAAAAGAAAGGCTAATGTTAATCAAGAAGTGTTGAACAACAGATTGAATGCAACGCTCAACTTGAATTGACATTTCCAATATTGAAAAACATACATAGTGTCAATTGCTCGGCTACATATACATGCCATAGTCAGCATCTCTCGAAAGACTTCTCTTTTTTTCTGTTAATTATATATATCAACAAATAGATTAACATATCAATGATAATTATACAGAAGAAACAATCAATCGACTTTATTTGAAAAAATTTTCTTTCAACAATGTGAACAAAACGAAAATAAAATATCTCATTTGTCTTTTTTTCATTGACTTTCTTTTTAAATCGTAAAATAAAACATCTGCAATCATTCAGCTATGACATTGAGCATAGACTTATTTTGTTTATATTTGACATCGGCTCATTTGAAAAAAATTTATTTATATGTGGTATATCATTTTATGACGATATCAAATGGTATGCTTATCATTGTATTAAAGTCAAACGGGCCGTATAAATCAAATATACACATTTACACAGACTCGACATGTAGAGAATCGAATTTTAAAAAATACAAACTTAACACCTAAATTCATCATTTTTGTAATGTTTAACAAGAGAATTTTTATTGTTTGTAATTTTGTTGATCAGTATAAAAGAGAAGAAAACACTTGTTATCGAAAGACAAATGGATATGTGACATGCTATTAAAATGAAAGATGATGAACGAGCTAGATTAATGATGATTTTATTTTCGATGGGTTGACAACTATGAATTGATATCATATGTTTTTTGTTAGATGTCAAATTCTAGCAGGTTCAACTAATTTGATAGAAAAAAGAAAATTTTAAATTATCGAAACAAACTACTGCATATTGTTTCGACATACGATACTATTTTATCGAATTCATTGTCAATTGAATTGAAAGCTATGAAAATACGTATATCGGCATTGATCAAGATTGAATTTCATTCGATAACAATAATCGATTGTATTCAAAACAATTAAAAATTCAATCGAATTCTGTTCGAAATAAGAAATTATCAACATATCGAATTCAAAGAATAAAACTATCGACTTGTTCTAATTATTTGATGAATCAAATCTTTGAAAGTATGGTAGCGAGATCATGACAATTTTTATAGTCAAGTTGAAACAACGAGTTTTAGTTTTCAAACACAATTACTGAAAGATATTTTTTAACAAGAGGAAAACGTTTTATGCTTGAGAAAAAGTCCCTATATGGATGAAGCTTTCATTTGAGTCGATTTCTTCGTCTATTGAAGTCTTAATATTTATTGATCGAAAATTTCCTCTGATGTCTATATCAATCTTAACGAACAAGGATATTAGAGATTAAATGGATTATCGTGTAATACGAATGTATGAATGAGATTTAAGTCTTTGCTTTTGATTTCAGTACCAGTGTTTTGAATTCGAGAGAAATTCATTTTGAATAATAATTCGTTGTCCAACTTTCATCTATTTTTATCAAGTAAAAAAGTATTAGTAAAGTATGATAAATGACAAAAAGATAAGTACTCTTGTACCTTTTGATTAAGAATTTTAGTCACATTAGAATGCGAGTCAAATCATTAGACATTTGAAGGAAAATATGTAAGAACTATTCTTTTTGCAGTGTTTTATGTATTATTTATGTTTAATTTATGCATAGATATTAAAATTGAAAACAATTTATTACTTGAAATCATTTTATTTACGAAATAAATCTATTGGAATTCTCCTTGGAGTTATTTCTGATCATTGCTTAGGAGTGTAATTTAGGTTGTATCGATATTATCATCCACGTAATTGACAATATATTCTCTATTGAATACTAAATTAGACATGAACAAGATGAACTATATGAGTTATATTTTAATCAAATAGTGTTGTGCGCTTTGGTATAGTGAGAACATTATATTACGACTGTTTTATTCCTGTTCGATTATCAATATCGATAGTTTCTTTATTGTTGGATGACTCGCAATAAAATACAAACGAGAAAATTTATTTCATATAGAATATAAATTGTATTTTTACAAATAGTTTTATTGTATGGAAATGAACAGTTTGATTGTTCGTAAGAATAGTAACTAATTGCTGTTGTAGTAGTTAATACATTTCTTATTTATGCAAAGCAACTAAATAGTTTAATAGATCCATGAAATCAGAGACCCACAAGAAATTTTCTATATCTTTCGATGATCATATGTCTTTCTAAAACAATTTTCATATATTTGAAACAATGAGTGATTGGATTCAGCTGTCAAAAATTTTAATAGTTTTAAAACATTTAAGTTCGTACTTTTAATATTACAGAAATATCATAGTAATTGAAATTTATATTTCGAATGAAGACTAGAAATGTTGTATTTACACTGATAAACGATATATTTTATGATATAAAATAATATTTAGCAGTAAAATAAAAAATAATCGAGAAAGAAATAGAAATTGTGATACGACCTGCTTGGATGACCTCGCTAAATGAAAATTTTTATCTACGTTAATGAAGATATTTTTTTTTGAAAAATAGAAGAAATTATGCAATTGTAATGATGAAATGTGTACAGTGCAGTTTCTCTTAAATTATAAAAATCATGCACGACTATAGTTTAAAAAATTTCAACTATTAACAATATTTTAAAAGGGTTACTTTGCAAAGTACTTTTTAAACAAGAAATGCAACAGAAGCATTTTTATTTTACTTACTACAGAATTCTATCACATATATTAACTGAATTAGGTGATATCAAAGTTCATAGGTATATGTAACAATGACCGTTTCGAGTTTCAAAGTCTTTTGTGTATTTGAATTTGTATTTCATCTATAATTATTTTATTTGAAATATAGGGAAAAAGAAGAGCGAAAAGAGAGGAATAAAATAATGAATAGCAAAAGTTAAGATTAATAGACTCGAATATCACTCATTAGATTTATTCGTGGATAATGTACTCTTCGAAATGGTATTGATATAAAAAGAGTAGGGCTAATAATAAGGAGAACGAGAAAGGAGAAAAAAAACTTCTACAAACAATATCTATTAAACCTATCACAGGTCTATTTGAACCGATTTATTGTCAAACTACCGACTATTCAAGTTCTCCAATAGGTATGCTTTTCATCCATATGTCATGCATAAAATGAAATAGAGTGTCTGTAACAGAAACTTTATATGGCGTTGGATTGAGATCACGTATATGATCTTTTCGTAATTGATTTATTTGATCTTTTGCATATTCTCGAATCTCATGTAATGTTGGTAATTTTTCTTTAATTTCTCCATCAGCCCAATATAATTTATATAAATTTCGAACTGATGTTGGTGTAACATAAGCACGTCTTTGATCAGAAAATGGATGTCGGCTAAGAAGTTTTACTGATGCTTCTGGTGGTGGTTCATCAGATTTGGTTAATAAATCACATAAAGCTTTTCCATCATGACCATATATTCGATAAAGATTCTTTCGGCCTGGTATTGTTACTTTTTCAATATCTTGACTCACTTTTATACGTGGTAAACCAGCAAGCTAAAATAATAAATTTGTCAACTCGATAAAATTCAATCAAAACTTACTTCAACTAATTTATAAACACAGCCAAGTGCTGGTTGCTTTTGACATGTAACTAAATGTGTACCAATGCCAAACGTATCAATAGAATGTCCTTGTTTGTCTAGTGATACTAATGTTTCTTCATTAATATCATTACTTGCAACAATATTAAAATCTTTAAAATAGCTGATCGCAAATTTTTTCGCTACTTCTTGAAATTTTGCACGAACTTCTAATGATAAATAAGCTAAATCACCGGAGTCTAAACGTAAGCCCACAGCTTCATAGTTACACTCGTGTAGTGCACGTGCTACAGCTAAAAAGTTTGGTAAACCAGATTTAAGTACATCATATGTGTCGACTAATGCTAGAAAATTTGTTGGAAATGCTATTGCATATGAAGTAAATGCGGCTAATTCTCCTTTATTCGTTTGTTCAGGAAGAATTTTAAGCATTGGACCAAGTTCTTTTAAATATTTTTCACATAAATCAGCAAATGGACGACGCTCACCACTTAGACGATCGCATAATTCTCGTTCGTTTAAATCATTCATTGATTCATATGAACTAACATAGGCATGAGCATGTGTACCTTTTACAGGAATACCATGAAGTTTACCAGCTAATACATTTGATGTACCATCAAATCCACCTAAATAACAATATTTTGATGCACTTAAACCACCATCAGGTCCTTGAGCACGACGTAAACCAAATTCCAATAACGATTTTTGATTTCCAATTGCTGAACGAAATCGTGCGGCATTCGTTGCAACTAAACTTGCAAAGTTGACAAGTGTTAATAATGTTGTTTCGAGCAATTGTGTTTTAATTATTGGCCCTTCAATTCGAATTAATGGAATGCGAGGAAATACAACAGTACCTAAATAGATAAATAAGTATTATTTAAAAAATTTGGTTTTTTTTAGCGAACTAGAACTATAATCTGGTTATTTTAAAAGTAGAAAATTTGTGTTTTTTTTAAAGAATTTATGATCATTGATGTTAATGATAATTCCAAAGGGAAATTGTGAAGTGTAAATACTAGAACTATTTATTGCATGATATATCAGCATGGATCTATTCTAAATGAGCATCAAAAGTAAATGAATGAGATAAATATGTGATTAAGATTAGATGAAATGTTTCAGTCACACCGACTTTCACACGCCTATAGCGATCTTGGCTAATCACTGACCTGAATAGAAATCAATAGAAATTCGTATGAATTCACTACTAACGTAAATTTTTCATTATTAGGAAATAATTGTTGTTTCTCATTAACGTGCAAGATAGTTTTTCATCGAAAGAATACAATTTACAAATGTTAAATATATTTTGTCAATAGGTTCTACTTGTCAAAATAAATTAAAAATAATAATCAATTTTTATACCTTATTTAGATACTTTTATGATGATAGCTAAGTTTACAATCCCAACAAACGACATCATTTATATCGATTGTAATAAATAAATAGCGAAAAACATCATAGTCTTTGAAGTAATATGAAATGTGAGAAAATAATTTCTAGTTTGGGTCTACTCTTGATTAGGACCATTATTAGGCCCACAAAAATTTGTCCCTGTTTTGCTCTCTTTTTTCGTCCCATACAAAAATGAGTTTTCTCTTAATTGGTCCCATAAAGAGAGAAAGTCGAACAGTAACTCGTCCCATTCTAAAGATGACTCCTATTGGTTATTGAAAATGATTTATATGACTAGTATGAGAGAGTGACATTTTGGTATCATTTTCACTAATTTGGTGAATCTGGTGAATAGAAAAAAGATATGGCAAACAATGAGATCTTTATTCATATAATTCATTGTATGCTGTTGTTACTATAACATGTTTCGATTTACAACCACTGAACGGAATAAGCAAATTCTAAATTATTTGGATTTTCAATACACTGTTAAACGAATAAATAAAACATGTGACGAATGGAGGTGTAGAAACAGAGACTGCTCAAGTACAAATAAAAAAAGAAGGAAAACCTACGATAAAATCGGCGAAAAACTTTTGGAATTATTCAACGTGTTTGAAAATGGTCAATTAACTGTCATTGAATTGGCTATTCAATCAGGTAAAGCAGTCAAGATAAAAAAAAATAAATAGTAAATTCTGCTATTTATTTTTTTGCTCTTTATGTATTTTTTTATGTTGTATGAAACTTAATATATAAAACAAATATTAGATAAACCAATTGGAGTCATCTTTAGAATGAGACGAGTTGCTGTTCGACTTTCTCTCTTTATGGGATCAATTAAGAGAGCAAAACAGGGACGAATTTTTGTGGGCCTAATAATGGTCCCAAACAGGGTGTCACCAATCGATTTGCTCGAGAATAATATATGAAAAAATGAAAACTGATGTTAATTAGACGCGACCACTATCTCATGTGTGACTAATTGAAAATTCAAGTATTGACATATTCAATAGATCATTCACGTTTTTTTTTCCCTTTCCCCTGCATCTGAAATACTCGTTTGTTGGTCAAGACTGCCTTGCAGGCTTAGTGTGATCTTTTTTCTTTTTGTTTGCAACGAATGTTGAGTGTTTTCTTATTTTTCTTTTTCTTTTTGGTACGTCTCTGCTACTCAATAACCAATCATTTCTATACTATTGATTTGATTCATATTTATTTCCATTAACACGACTGTGCGTACGTACGGTCTATCAGGCATTCATTGAAACGGAAAAGTCGATACGTAAGTTGCTAATACGTACCTCAATGTTAGACCACTCGAACAGTTCTTATCATTTCACAGCATGAATATTTGTTTTTCGTTTCTTACAATATGTCATTAAATTCAACAGAATTATGTTAATTAGTAAAATGAAATATAAAATATGTCTCGAATAGAATTTTGTAGTAGTTAAGTATCTGGTTTGTATTATCCCATCGTTTCGCTGAAAGCTGATAAAATCAAATATTTTATTCATATAATAACTATTCTTCTCTGGACTTTATTATTCAAGAATATAGGCAGTGATCAGCATACTGTAGGAAAATGAAATCCATCCTACTAACACTGAGCATCGTCATAAAGTTTTTCTTGTTTTACAATTTGTAAAATATGGATATGATTAAAAATACGGTAATTAAAATTTCACATAGTACGCTAATTGTTTCTTTTTTGCTTTGTATTTGTCTTGCTAGAACAAACTTATTTCATTTCTGATTATGCTAATTGTGTACTAATAGGACGAATACAGTTAAATAAAAAAACTAGTGATGAAGTTCTAAACTTGATAAACGCGAAAGCACGTGATAAAAAATAATTTTCTTAATTTATAGTTGAGTAAGACATGCTATTTCTTTTTTTAGTTTAATTACATAGGAGTGTCATCATGCCAATACAATGTAAATGAACTATAGTTCCTCGAGTAACTTACATTACTAAATCTATTTCTTGCTCATTGATATTATTATCTATATGACTAATATAGTAAGAACGTAGATATAGAACTATAATGATTATAGTATGCATTCAAGAAAGAGTTCAAAGTTTGATCTAATAATTATTACTTTTTTCTTGTTTGTATTTCTTCATACTCTTATCAATCAGTCATTGGGTCTAAGCAGTCTGAGACAATGCCTTTTTAAACTTGTATTTATTCATACTCTCTTTGTCTGTTATTATTCATAGTTAGCATTTTCATTCTGTCGATATATCGTGCTTATTGATACACAGAGAGAGGATGAGTAGAAGAGTAGAAAAAAATAATAATAAAGTTTCATAGATAAACTAGATTCTTTTATTAGCTTCTATATTGCACAAAGATCGTTTACAACGAATCAAACATTCTATTGGATTCATTGGTAAGATACATGATAGCAATAGTGCCAATGATAATAGATGAAATACTTTCTAGTATAAATGATTCCTTTCGGCGTAGGTAGAAATTGCAGATTTTTCATGACGTCTATTGAATGTTCGTGTAATTTTATTTTTATTATACAATTATCTCTTCATTTGATGCTAACGAAAAACATCAATCTAAATAAACACACCGATGGCCTAAATAGAGTTCGAAAAGAAACTTTTCTAGATTGATTTTAGTTTAAAAAACAACCAAAAAGAAAAGGCATAGCTCATCTTTTAACTAGTAAGTCTAAGACATACTAATACAACAATAATAATTAATGAGATCAGTAATAATACGTTCACTAGTCTAATAAATTCAAGAAATAATTTTTATTTCATTTATAAATCATAGTGAAATTGAAAAGATTCGCTGAAAATTCAGGATGATAATATTTTTCTACATTCTTCCAATAAAATAAAATTTCATTTACTTCAAAACAAAGAATTATGTTAAATAAAAAATATTACTGATTAATGTAATTATGTTTCATGAGAAAGAGAAGAAGATTTTGTTTTTGAGTTGATATACAGCACATACAAACTTGATGAGCGTTAATAATACAGATGAATTTAGATGTTTTATGACAATTAGTATGACATATCAAATGGGAAAAGGAGAGTTTCCCTTCTATGAAACCAACTCCTAGTGTTGTTTTTTTTCATCTGGAATTAAATTTATCAAATGCAAACACGTCAAAAATGATCAGATTTTCCCATGTCGTAGATAAAAAAATAAAATTGAATGTTAAGTTGACATGATGGATAAATGCATATTTTAATTATGAACAAATTAATTTGACAATTTCATGTACTGAAACATAAAAATTTTCTTTTTCGAAAGTATTGCATTTATCAAGAGTAAAATAATTTGAAAATATCTTTTATGATGGCAAGAAATATTTCTCTTGTTTTTAGTTCACTCGATACGTTTAATATATGAAACAATTCGTTCACTTCATGGCATCTATATCCTCGTCTTTTATTTTATTTGCCTCTTCATCGTCATTTACTTCTTATCTTATTAATATTAGTATGACATTATCATCTAAATTACAGCTTATTTGTTTATTGCCGTTGCCTTTACTGGTGTTATTGGTAATACCACAACAATTATTGTTTTTACCCAACGCCGTTTACATTCTTTACGTTCATCATTTTTTTATTACTTGTCTAGCTGCTACCGATCTTGTCTTCATATTTATACTTGTAATTGCATTACTTGAGGAATTACACGCATCTGTTATGACTATACCTGTTTGTATATTAGCAATTTACTTAAGTCATATAGCATCATTTTTATCATCAAATTTTACATTGGCATATACAACTCATCGTCTTATAGCCGTATTTTTTCCAATCAAAGCAACAACAGTTTTGAAACAACGTACAAATCGTATATTAGCATTAATATTATTAACATTTGTGTGTTTATTTTATTCATTAGCATTTTCTGTGACAACAACAACAACATTTCGTGCGAATACAGCAAATATTGTCAATTGTGAAGAAGATCGAGTCAAACCATTAATATTTCCATTTCTTGTACTCGATACATTATTTACATTTATTATACCATTTTCATCTGTATCATTCATGAATTCAGCAATTGTTTGTAAACTTCAAACAAAATTAACATTCAACAATAAACTCTCGACATCAAGTTCAGCAATACTAATTACTACACCATCAATAAAATTGCCGGGCCCATCAAGTACTGAAACAACCCAAGCAGCTCAATTAAATAATGGTTATGCAATGGTTAATAACAATAATAATATTACTAGTAGCGAATCTCATCGTCTTTTACATAATCAAAATCGAATCCTTTTATGTGTACGACCGATGCAAAGATATAAACGAACAACTAGTCGCTCGGTACCTTGTCTATCAACACAGCGGCAAACATCAATGTATCCTAAAAGTGCGTCATTTCATATCCGTTCTGCTCAATGTCGAGCAACAGCATCAGCCAAAACGACGAAAATGCTTTTAGCTGCTTCAACAGTATTTCTTGTATTTTATTTTCCTTGTCATTTTTTATTATTCTGTTTCTTATTTTCTAAACGACAACCATCATGGATGCTTGATGTATTGAATATAGCTCGTCTTTGGTTTTTTGCATTGTTTTGTGCCAATTTTTTGTTTATGCTATATGTGGTCAACGATTTCGTAATGAAGTTGTTCGTCTGTTTAGCTGTTCATTCGTTTGACGTTACATTGAAGCACAGGAACAAAAAGAATTACACAAACGTCAAAATAGCATTTATTTGAGCCATCGTTTATTGCCTATTTCATCGGCACATATTTCTCATGCCAATTGAATTGTATCAGTTCTATTCATTCTTTAAGATATATTTGTATTTTTTTGTTGTTGTTTTGTTCGTATTAAAATGATTATTCTCTAGTGAAAACAAAAACAAGCAAAGAAAGTCACGCATATACTAAATACTATGTTAATGATTTAGGTATATGTGATAGGTTACAATAAGATACAGAATGAAAACTGATTTTCTATTTGTTTTGCAAATGAGACTGCCCAAAAAATAATCACTATCTGAATCTTTTTTTTGTTACTTTTCCTGATGAATATGGCAACACTTTCTTTCATTTCTTAACTATATTTATATAATAGTATATCTTTTTCTCTGGACAAACGAATTGGATTTAATTTACGACGAAAAACTATGGTGTACTATGCTAAAAGTAATGAAATTTGATTAATCATCATTGCTTTGCGATAAAAACTAGCTGATTTGTAGGTCTAATGTGTTCATAGTGACGCAGAGTAAATAGCAAGTTGTCATTTTAAATAAATTCTATAACATAGGAAATATTTTCACTTAAGATTTCTATAATTAATAGGCATCATATGTGCATTAATGATTTTTTAGTCAGATACAAATAGTTATCGATTACATACATTCAATCATATTCTATGATCAAAAATTATATTTATACTCATTTTAAGTGTTGATAGTTATCTGATGATATTTAATAAAACTACAAAAGAAAAAGAAATTCGTTTCCTCTGTTATTTTATTAACAAGATATGTTTGGTGTTTTTTCTCAATCTCATTTTCATAAATGAAAGCTTTGGTTTTATGAGAGTATCTAGCTGTCAATATATAAATGATAATCGATACATTATTTTTTGTCGTCGTTAAACATGTATAAATTATATTTTATTTTTATTGTTTTGAGTTAAATATTCATATCAAATTTGACTATATTCGATAAATACTGAATAGATAATTTTCTATACATTTGATAATTCCAGTTTCATTAATGAATCCTAAAATATTAGAGTCGTTCGATTGAAAAATTCCTGTTTTCTATGACGATAGAATATAAAATCAATTCTAATGAAGGCAATTCGTCAACAAATGAATCAAGACTATTTATATTTCATTTTTTAAATCGATACTTTGCTTGACAACTTGTGATTTAAAAATTAGCACAGAAACAAATCTAAGAGAGAACAGTTGCTTTGCTCGGAAAAACAGATATATGTACAGCCTTAGAAATTATACTCGCATTTTTGGATACGAGAAGATCAAAGCATCGAGGACATTCTTATAAATAGAATTAGTATCATCAATGTTATACTGAGACTAAATTATACGATTGTATGCACATTAAAATTTAAAAGCTAAACGAGAACATTAATAGAATACTATGATTTCTAGCAAAATAATTTTCATGTTAGATAAGCATTCTCAAAAAAAAAGACTGTCGATTTTATACCGATACAAGTAGCTCTATGTGATAATTTCACTTACGAAAAATCTTTCCAAATAAATTACTTTAATACAGTTAACAAAGTAACAAAAACTATTTTGTCTGACAAGATACCTTCACTTGTGTTTTTGAGATATTAATGACTTTCGCCAATCGTTTCTATTAAACGCTAGTACAGCTATGCGAAAGATTCATCTTATGATAGACCATCAATATTCTATGAAAGTTCCAAGTATTTTGTATCAATTGAGAGAAAAATAAAAGGAAACGTAAGAATCGAAGATGACAGAAATTCACTTCTTCAAAAAGATGCGTAAGTACCACGAAACCACATGCCTCTATTTAAACATCGATGATTTCATTGTATTGAAATAAGAGGAATTGTTTTGCATTAATTTGCTCGTTTCAAATCTTCCTGAATTTTGATAGGGATAGTCTAATAATCAATAGATAACATAGAGAGAGAAAGACGGTACATATTATATATGTTATTCTATGAGAGTTCATCACTTACTAACGACATCTGCGAACATTAATTGTACGATGCGAAGTATTTACAGAATAAATATAAAAATTTTATATTCACATTAAAGATTCATACATTTTCTCATTTGAAATATTTTCTCTAAAATCTTATTCAATAAAAAAAGCATTACTTTAGTTTTCTAAATAAACAATATATATTTCAATAAAAAAACAAAACAAAAATAAATGATGATGATTCAATCTTTTATTTATTCTCGTTTTTTCTTATCTTTGACGTTTACTCATACACTTCTCTTTTTTCTATTCGTTCAGCCCAAAGATTCCTTTTCAGGTTGATTGCGTTTGGGTTACACAAGTGGTTTCACCTTCATTTTTTTTCTGTTGTGTTAATCGTTGAAACACAGTAGAAAGATTTTCGGTTTCAGATGAGTAATATGACATATATTAGTTTGATCTGCATCGTATTTTATATTCAACCAATAACCACGTTCTATATACCAGGTGTAGCTCCGCTGGATTTTAAAGAAGGTGAAAATGTTGAAGTTAAAGTAAAGATTTTTTATTGTTAACTTTAAAAAATCAAAGAAAATATCTTAACTATGAAGGCTGTGAAAATGACAAGTACCAAAACACAATTACCATATGATTATTATGATGTTGCTATGCATTGTAAACCAGCAAATGGAACTAAATATAAATCAGAAAATCTTGGTAAGCAAAAAACGAGAAAGCCTTAAATAAATTTAATAAAAATGATCTCTTTTTTACTTGTTATTTTAGGTGAAATTCTTCGAGGCGATCGAATTGTTAATACGAAATTCAAAGTAATTGAAATGTAAATTTAAAAAAAAGTAACTATCTGTTTACTTTTAATCGGATAGGTTGAAATGGCTACTAATGTTGGTTGTCAAACACTATGTAAAGATAAGCATTTAAATAAACAACAAAGTTCTACAATTGGCAAACGTATTCGTAAAAATTATTATGTTCATCTGTATGAAATAATTTAACTCACTATTGATTGTGATATTTGTGTTTGTTATTACTTAGTCTTATTGATAATCTTCCATGTGCAACTAAATTTGAAAATGTTGAAACTCATAAAGTTTTATATGAACATGGTTACCGTTTAGGATTGTATACAAAAAAAACAGAAGAAACGTATATAAATAATCATTTGATAATGAAATTGTATTATCATAAAGAACCGGGGTAATTAAATTTTTTACAATATTCTTTATTCAAATATTATCTTGATTGTTATTCTCTTTACAGAGATCTTTATCGAGTTGTTGGTTTTGAAGTTGAACCAAAGAGTATTGATTCAAAACGTATGAATGTTAACAATGATGGAACATGTACCGTTCAAAATGGCCAAGAAATGCAAAAAATTGATCCAAAAAGTTTGATTTAGTTAAGAAAATTATGAAAGATATAATCGAATTACTGTATTTTCTAGATGAAAATACAATTACAACGACTTATGAAATTATATGGGCCAATAGTGAAACACGTTGGGCAAGTCGGTATGTATTTACAAAGTTTTTAATATTTTGAAATGAAATTATGAATGAAAATGAATTTTCTATACTTTGAAATATGTAAATCGAGCCATTTTTATCGGATATTAAAATTTTTTTTTTATCGTATGATTGAATCCACATGTGTCTCAATTATATTAAATTCAAATAGAATTTTAAGTTTTTCTATTAATCATTTGCTTCACTTTTTGAGTTGAGAGTTTAAGTATACACGCAGATTATAACGTATATTCTATTTACTTTTTGATTTATTCATAGTTGGGATACTTACTTAGCAATGACCGATGCACAAATTCACTGGTTTTCAATTGTTAATTCAGTTATTGTTGTATTTTTTCTTGCTGGTATTTTATCAATGATTATTGTTAAAACTCTTCGTCGGGATATTGCACGATATAATCAAGAAGATGCTGTGAGTTAAAACAAAAATGTAAAAATATCCACTAAGAAATGGTTTTCGATTTTTTATTGTGTAGGATGATGGTAGCGAAGAAACTGGTTGGAAATTGTAAGTTTTCCATTCTTTTTTTTTGAATTTTCTTTTGTTTCAAAAAATCAATTTGTTTTCAGAGTACATGGTGATGTATTTCGACCACCACATCGTAAGAATATTCTTGCTGCACTTCTTGGTTCTGGTATTCAAATATTTTTGATGTCATTAATTGTGATTGGTTTGTATCAAAAAGGTTAGTGTAAAAGATAAGAAGTTCTTTTTTCTTTTGAATAGTATTTGCTGCTCTTGGAATGCTTTCACCATCATCACGGGGTGCATTAATTACAGCAGCTTGTTTTCTTTATGTTTTTATGGGGTAAAAAATAATGAGTAGAAATTTATTTATCACATAAATTTGATTTTATTAGTCTTATTGCTGGATTCTATGCTGGTCGTATATACAAAACAATCAGAGGATCAAATTGGAAACGAACAGCAGCTTTAGTATGTCGTGAATTTCTAATATGCTTTATTGTTTATATGGTTTTTTTACAATATACAGACAGCTACATTATATCCAGGAATCGTATTTGGTATTGGTTTTTTTCTAAACTTTTTCATTTGGGGAAAACGTTCATCAGGTGCTGTTCCACTTTCAACTATGGTTGCAATACTGGTTATGTGGTTAGGAATCTCATTCCCGTTAGTTTGTGTTGGCTTTTATTTTGGTTATCGTAAACAGGTTAACATAAAAATTAAAAAGGAAATTATATAATTTTGTCTTTACAGCCCTACGATCATCCAGTTCGAACAAATCAAATTCCACGTCAAGTACCTGAACAACAATGGTTTTTACATCCAGTATTAAGGTAAATTGGTTTCTCGCTCTTTGATTCAATTATTATTATTTTCTTCTTCTAGTACTCTAATGGCTGGTAAGTCATTTTGCGATAATTCGAAAATAATGGATTGTAGAAAAGAATAGAAGACAAATAAAATTTATTATCATTTGTTATATCAAATATTAAAATGAAATCCCAAGAATAGTTTGAATAATAAATCGAGTTTTCAATAGAATAAATTTCATAAATGAACTACAAGAGTTCAGTTAACACAAGAATGTACGAAAACTATTTTTCCTCATTTCAAAGTTATAGAGAAGTAAACTTTAAATTAAGATAGTTCTTATCCTACGAATCTCCTTTAGAAAGTCGTCAATAGGTTTTAAAAACCTCCTTCTCGTAGTTCATTAATGAAATGTATTCAATGGAGAACTTTATGTGTTATTCAAGCTATAGCTTGATATTTGATATAAATACTGGCTACCGTAAAGAACGACATGATTAGTTTGCTGTATATATTTATAAGATATAGACTATAAAATAAATTATTGATTAGGTGTACTTCCATTTGGTGCGATGTTTATTGAATTATTCTTTATCTTTTCGGCCATATGGGAAAATCAATATTATTATCTATTTGGTTTTCTCTTTCTTGTCTTTATTATTATTATGAGTAAGTTAGAATTTTGATAAAAAAAATAGTATTTAAATTTGATTATCTTCTATCTAGTATCCTGCTCACAAATTTCTATTGTCATAACTTATTTTCAATTATGTGGAGAAGACTATCATTGGTGGTGGCGATCATTTATTGCGTCAGGAGGATCAGCATTTTACGTATTTGCTTACTCAATATTTTATTTTTTCACCAAAGTAATTGAAAATTTAATTAGATAAATAGACTTATGTTTTTAAATTTAAATTGTTTTGTAGCTTGATATTACTGAAGTTATTCCAATAATGCTTTATTTTGGTTATACATTTTTGATTTGTTTTACATTTTGGACTTTGACAGGAACAATTGGTTTTATTGCATCATACATTTTTGTTAGAAAAATTTATGCTGCAGTCAAAATCGAATAAAAGTGTAGGAAAAGAGAAACAAACTTGTTCAACTGTTAGCATATCTATTCCTTTTTTCTCATTTGAAAAATTAAAAAAATGCCTCGATATTTTTTTTGGTCTCCATTTTACTCTTTCGCAACTTTTTGTGTAATTGTTCGTTTATTCGTAGTCGTTCATGACTTTTTTATTCTGAAACGTTTTTTGTTTCTATTCAAAATAAATATTGTTTTTGCTTGTTGTTTCTTTTATTGTTGTTGTTGTTGTTGTTTATTAAATCAAACGAGATAATATGTAAGACATGGATTATTAACGTTCAATGAGACTTTGTTTTCGTTTTAATATTTAGATATGACTGTAGCTGCAGGATTTATTATACATATTTCGAAAAGAAGAGAAAAAAACAATTGAATATTTATTATTACAAACTTCTTATGATGAGCATCATTGGACACCTCCAAAAGGTAAGATTTCTGACATTCGAATGTAGCTCCGATATTTTGCGACAGTTTCTTGTGAAATTTATATCTAGTAGATAAAAAAATCTATTTGACTTGAACTTTTTACTGTGAATACACGCACAACTGAAGAGCTCCTTTTAAAAATGTGCCCACACTCTCAAGTGTTGATTAACAGTACCAAAACATCAAACTATGATCATTTTCAATGTTCGATTGATATATGTATCTCATCAACAGATCAAATTACGACATTAAAGTTGTGCTGATAGAAATATTTCGTTGAGCAAGTATTGTAACAAAATATTCAATCAACTCTTCAGACCGGTCCTATAACTCAATCTTCCAAAATGTGCTCTCGATAGAAGTCGGACTCATGTACTGTTAATACTACGTATAATGAATTTATGCAAGAGTTAGCTTGAGAGCTTAATGCTAGCAGCATACTCGAAAATAATGCTTTTCTCATACAAAGAACATCTGAGTTCTTTGAGTTCTATCGATACACATAAAAATTCCCAGAAAATCACAATTGTTTTTTAGAAACTCTCATTCCCTTCTATAGACTTTTTTTAACAGAAGTTTTAGTGATTTTCGATACACCTTTTATAGAAGTTAAACGGCAGTCAGGCATTGGTTTTTTTCTGAACAGAATCTATTTTAGGTGACGAGACTTTTCTAATCATTCTTCAATAAAACAGAGTATATTATGCGTGAAATAGGAGTCATTTTTTTAATATGCAAAGTGGGCACTTCAGAACTTTATAAAAGACTTCAAGTCATCTTTTGTATAACTACATGATACTCGGTTAGCACTTTGAAATCAACCAACTTCTATTTCGTTTTCAGTCTCGTCGATGTATCGTGCATATTCAACGTCGCTTTCAGATCCTCAGTATCCAAAATAGGTGGGATTTATCTTTAAGATGTAAGAATAAGGTAAAGTAGACTATATCAGTTTTACAGGAAACAACAACACTAAAAAAAATAGGTTTTGGTCGCCATTTTAAACCTTCTTTTGAGTTAAGGTAAGAAGAAATTTTAATATCTTTTCCATTTGACTAGGTCATACTGATAACGATGAATCTCCACTAGAGGCTTGCTGAACGTGAAACAAAAGAAGCTGATTTAGAATACTGACAAATTCGAAGAAAAAATAACCTATAATGTTAATGGAAAATCGAAAGATGTTTACTATTATTTAGCACAGCTTCGTAATATTGAAAAAAACAATAAATCTATCTGATAAACATCAATATTTTATCTGGTTGAATTTAGATGAAGCATGCAGTTTAGTTAAATTCGAGAGCTTGCAAAATACTCTACGAAAAGCTGAAGGATTTTTCAAACAATTATCATTAATATAATTTCTAATAAAGGTATACTGTAATTTTTTAAAACTTTTTCTAGATGAATATAATATCCATGTTTGATCGAATTTGTTCAAGTAATGTTGTGATTGCTTCACAACAACGTAATGAACCAGAATTCACATATGAACAAAAACATGAAATCCTTAATCAATTATATAAAACGAATCCAGCTAATTTTATCCATCGTTTTGGCTCGTTACTAACGGATAATGAATTAAGAAAATATTTTGATCCCAATGCTGATTATGTGCATCAAATATTAACTTCAAATCGTAATAAAATTCGTGCAAATCGTCGTTATACATATATGCAACAACTAATTGCTCGTGGATCATATTTTAGTGATGAAGCCATGAAAGAAAGATCACCATTACTCTACGAACAAATGATTGAAAAATATAATGATAAAGAAACAACTCCATTGATTGCTAGAACAGCAAACGGTCCATTAGCAGATTTCTACATGGAACACTTAGAATCGATAAATTATCAAGAAAGACTTGAAAAAGAATTCGAAAAAGAAGAACGATTGCGCCATGATGGACATATTGAAAGTGACGACGATGATGAAAGTGATGATAATGATGGTGAAGAGGAGAATGCAAAAAACTATACAAATACCGAAAGAGATTTATACCGACAAGAATTTCTTGCTATTCAAAAAGGCAAGGATGATTACATTTTAGCCATATTTGTAATAGACAAACAATGTATTAGTAGACTTGAGTTTTCATCTGAATAATCTATTTAGATTAATACATCAATTTTTAATTATACGATAGTTCATTTGTTATATATACGCTTGACGAGAAGATCATTAATTCAATATTTGAATTCAAACGTTTTCTACTACATCAACTCAAGTCATTACAATGACATCGATGAGATTACTGAAATGGAAAAACCATCAAGAACTAAATATTACTCTAAGATATCTTCTTTTTGCGCATATTCATACGTTCAAAAATGAACAAAATACTTTTCAACTTATCCTAAAGATTTCTTTCATCACATTCTATTTTTGTTTTAGAAAAATTTCTCAATGGCGAAGATTCTAATATCGATTATACATCTATTGACAATAATGAAAATCTTGACGACATAAAAATACGTGAACACGATGAGGAAGAAAAGTATTTTGATGATGAAGATCCTTATACCTATAATGGTGAAGAACAATAATAGTATTTTTGTCGCACTCACAGACATGTGCAGATTATTCATGCAAATTATTTAAAGTTCGACAGAAAAATAATTTGCTATTCATATTGATCAGAAAAGTTTATCTTGGTAAAAATATGATTCGTGTAACTATCATTTAACAATCAATCAATTAAATAAAAATATCTAAGAACTTTAGATTAATCTTGATTATTAAATTTCTCTTATTCAAGCTAGTCTCTTTTTGAGAGAGATTAGACTTCAATCACTTTCATGTTAAGTAAAAATCTATTATTACTCATTCGTAGTTTTTCAGATATTTTTCTCTATATCATAAATAAAACGAAATGGTCGAATTATTACTTGACTCAGCTATTCGATTTTGGGTATTTATGCCTATTGTGGTAATTACATTTTTTGTTGGTATGCTCCGACATTATATAACAATTATAACAGCTGGCGAAAAACCTGTCGATAAACAGCAATTAGCCGATAGGTAACGTTTTGTTTTCATTTTCAGCTATAGCTTTTTATGTTCTCATTCATATTTTAGTCAAGCACTTATTCGAACAAGAATTTTACGTGAAAATGGGAAATATATTCCAAAAGAGGTTTGATTCAGTGTTTTATAGATGTTTGCTTTTTTAAACATTAATTTTATATGCATAGGGTTTTGTTATGAGAAAACATTTTTTTGCTAACGAAGAAACTGGTTATCTTACTAAACAACAAACTCGTCAACAACCTATTCGGAATCCAATTACAGGTACAATAGAAAATTTAAGAGCATCTTATCAATATAGAAAATTTATACTTTAGATCCAACGATGATGACTGAAATGCTTAAAAATAATATATCAAATATGGTACCAATGATTGTCATTGGTGGTGTTATCAATTGGGCATTTAGTGGCTTTCTTTGCAGTATGTCTTTTTTTCGATATAAACTGAAAATGAAATCCTTACTAGTGAATACTTATTTTTTGTTAAGTTTAACAATAAAAATCTAACACAAACGAGTAGTTCGAGTTAAGGAAATAAAAGTACGAATAGTTATATGTATGCGATAGAAGCAAATATTTCTCGTTTCTATGAAGATTATTCAATAATTTACAATATTCTATTGATGATTTATTTCAAACTGTACATCTCTACTGTAGATGAATGAGAAAAGTTCATAGACTATTAAAATTTGCCTTAGAAGATTTATAATTACATTAAGTTAAAAACTAACTGTTTTCAAATTTTCTTCTAGCTAAAGTACCATTTCCGTTAACATATCGGTTCAAACCAATGCTACAACGTGGTGTTGAATTAGCGACACTTGATGCTAGTTGGTCAGTTCCATGATTTTGAGTTGATTAGTTAGAACATAACTACTTTTTTTTTCTTTTGAATTAGGTTATCATCTGTTTCCTGGTATGCTATCAATATATTTGGCCAACGTGGTATAAATAATTTACTTCTTGGAGAAAATAATGCAGCTGATCAAACAAAAATGATGCAGGATCAAATGAATATGGCTGCTGTGTCAATGCCACAAGATTCATCAAAAGCATTTAAAGCTGAACGCGAAGGTTTACTTGTCGTTGATCATCAATGGGCTTTTAAAAATGTTGAAAGCGATGTCATGTCGCAAAGATCATATATTCGTTCTCGCTAGTCTATCATGTCGTTTTGTGTATGTTTAGTGAAAAAAAATAAAATTCTACCAAAAACATCTTTTAGCGATACTCATTATAGAAAAGTACAAAATATTCTTTTTCATCAATTATAAAAATTCATTATTAGTTACAACAGCTGCTTTTTCTATTGAAAGTCTCTCGTCACTATCATATGGCAAGTTAAGAAAAATATCGATGACCCTTCTATTTTCCTTGTTCACATGGCTCTTACAATGATTCCAAACACAAAGTATTGTAATAAGCTTTTGCCTTAACTAACTTATAACTGCCTATTGAAGATTTAATATTTATTGTTGTTGAGATCATTTTTTAAAATTTACACAAAAAAAATTTCTGTCGACTAAATTTTTAAGTATTCTTGAGATTGAACCTTACTGATTTTTGAAGTTGCTTAGAAACTGACACTAATTTATTTAACCCAACCTGTTAGATCATCAATTTTGAACATTTTGTAATTGAATATTTCATAAATGAAAACTAGTAAATTCTGTAGAAAACTGATGATAACAGTGAAAAAGAGTGACTGTATTATTTAATTTATTTATTGGTTATGACATTGATTATTTTTTACGTTCGATTCATACTGGTCTGGAAAAAGAAAACAAACCGACCATTCATTCTAGTAATATTTTGAATCAATCTAAATAGTGATTTATATTGAATTTTGTTTCTTTTAATATAATATAATATACTATTATAAGTAATGTGAAATATTCCTTCTAAACAAATCAATACTTGAAAATATCTGTTTTACTGGTTTATCATAGCTGTTTATTGTTATTGTGTTAGTAATGTGTCTTGATTGATTGGACAAATTTTAACCAATTGGTAATCTACATTAACCACCGCTATGCATTCATCTAATAAATACAAATACACGTGTTGTTGCCCTTCTGTAGAAAAATCTTTTCTTTATATGTATATCTATATGTGTTTGCGGTTGTTTGCAATCTACTATCAGTGAACTTGTTATTGTGCCTACAAATAATCATTTCCGAGGATATCTTGCTCTCATTTTCTTCTGTTGCTTGTTTTTCTCTCTTATTCGTATTTCATTTTCGAAGATACATACAGAATATACGAACATATAATAATGTTCGAGTATATCGTTCACTATTCTCTCGTTATATTATTTGAACCCTCGATATAACTATGTTTTTCTTTCTTTCTATTTCTAGCATTTCCATTGGAAAACAAATCATTTAACGATTTGGTATATATATATATATATATATCTAGAGAAGCATTCAATACCTTTTTCTTATATATATATTAACTGACTATTTTAGTGACAAGTCATCGATCGACGAAAAATTCAAAAGAGAAAACTATGCACGATCGAAGTATTTATCTACACGACCGTTTTCTTTTGCGGCGCACACCATTGCAATTGGATCAACGAAATATTTGTCCACCATGGAGACATACCCAAATACCTGTCGAACTTTTCGATCTTATGACGTTAGTTTTATATATTATTTGAGTTTTGGGTTTTTTTTTGTTTTCAATCTATAGTTTTATTTATATTATTTTTAAGTGCGCCACCATTTATGTCCGTTCGTCTCTATCGTCTTCATTATGAAATTTTACAATTTTATCAATTTATGATTCCCACCGAAGAAGAACATGCCGTAAGACAACAAGTTATTAACCGTATTACTAATGTTATTAACCAGTATCTACCTACAGCATCTGTAAGAGAGTGAAGAAGAAAAATGAAGAAAAGAGCCGTATTATTTTTATTTTTCATATTAGATTGATATTTATGGTAGCTATAAAACTGGCTTGTATTTACCGATGAGGTTAGAACAACAGAAAAAGAAGCAAAAAATATTTTTCGAAAATGACTAAGGCATTCATTTTTTTTTAGTGATATTGATTTAATTGTTCATTCAAAAGACGGTCGTCAATGGCGACCAGACGAACTTGAAGCATTAATGTTAGTTTTACGTGAAGCTTTTTGTCGTCATCGTATTTGTACACAAGAAGGTATTCAATTATTAAATGGAGCAACAGTACCAATCATTAAATTGACTGATCGACGAACTGATGTTAAAGTGGATATGAGTTTCAATATGAATAATGGACTTCGAAGTGCTCAACTTATTCTCGTAAGTTTTTACAAAAAATTTTGAATATCTTTTATACTCAATAGAAAAAAGTACGAAAACAAAATCTGATATTTTTCTTTTCTTTTAAAAATTGACGTTCGTGAAAATTCATTATGCTGTTTATCTTGATAGATTCATACTAAAAATTGTTCTTGACTTCATTTTTTTTAGCATTATTTGGAAGTTTATCCATCATTGAAATATCTCGTTTATGTATTAAAACAATATTTACTACAACTTAATCTCAATGAAGTATGGACTGGCGGTATAAGTAGCTATTCACTTATTCTTATGTTGGTCTGCTTCTTCCAGGTACATAAAAAGAAAGAATAATATTAGTTCAGCGTTTTCTTTCACAATAAATTTTGGCATCTTCATTTATTTTCATAGACTTATTATAAAAAAGATCAACATTCATTTTGGTCATCATCGCTATCCTCTTCATTTTTATCTGGGTTATCCACATCATCGTCAGCAACAATCAAAACAACATCATCATCCTCATTAAAAAATGGAAATACAATTGGTACGATAGATGATTGTTCGTCCTCAACATCATATCCATCTTCATCAGCTGCTTCGTGTATATCATCTGATGATAATAATAGTTGCAGTAATAATAATAGTGATCTTGATGATGATCATTTCAATAATGGTATTAATGGTGGCGGTAGTAATAGTAGTAGTAACAACTGTACAACAAGTAGTAATAATAGTACTATTGAACACGCCAATCTTGGGCATATGCTTATTAGTTTTCTTGAATTATATGGTGTCTATTTTAATTATGCTAAATTGGGTATTCGTGTACAAACACCAAATCAATCAGATCGTTCAGCCGGTTTCATTGATAAAGAAGAATTATTTAAAAATTTTTGTTGTGGACATCGAACAATTAGTAATTTATGTATTGTTGATCCATTTAACGATAGTATGTCAAAAGAAAAGAAAATCTTTATTTTTCACTTTTGTTTTGTTTTGTTTTTCTTTTCAGAAAATGATATTAGTAAAGCTTCATGGTTAACACCAAAACTTAATTCAGCGTTTCGGGAAGCATTCGATAAATTATTACAAAGTGTCTCCGATCAAAATACTACATTAAAAAATGCTCCATCGTAAACATAAATAAAACGATGCAATTTTAGTATTATTTTTATTCATAGAAATATTTTATTTTAGTATTTTGTCAAAAATTCTTACTGTCAGTGAAAGTACATTGATCTATCGAAAACGATTACGTTCAATTTATTGTGATCATCAAAATGAACAACGGCCAGTTCGACAGATTCAACATAGTCGATTGAAGTAGGTTTATTCATTTAATATTAAAAAACGAATATCGAACAATACAAAAGGAAATATGCATGTTCAATCATAGTTTTCAAGACTATTTTGAAGAATATCGAAAATTCTTCTTCCGCTAAGAAGACTATCCTACAACATATTGGATAAAGGCTAGAAAATTCTCTCAGTCAGCGTTCAAAAAAACGTTATCTTGTATATGTCTAATGTGTTACTATGTAAAAAGTTTTTAATTTTTAAGCTTTCCAACTAGAAACTAGTACATGTGATATATATATTAATACGAATTCAATCGAGTCGTACTGTGATACTCTCAATGAAATTCTCTGATTGAAACCACATAGTCATTGAAAAGATACGAGATCGTTTTTTGCTTTCGTTTGTATCCGATGAGTAGCTAGTCCTATACGCTTCCTGTACTACTAGAGCTTATTGTTTCGAAACTTGTCGATTTGTGATCTAATTAACAGAGTATGTTCAATCTATGATCAACCCAATGATTTCTTTATCCAATCCAGGTAGAACTAGATAGCAGTAAGAAAAGCATTCAGGAAGCATATTATACTGTATGATTTACATAGTTAGTTTTGGAAAAACTCACTGTGTGCATAAAATTTTAGTTATGGTCCACTAGATAAACCGCTGATACAATATTCAAATGGAAATTCACTCAAATATCCATATCATATGCAATTTCAACAACAAGTATACTCATCAAATAATTTATTTCATCGACCTCAACCACAACGAACCAATCATCAAAGGTATCAATAGTTTTATTTGTATATTTTGATGACAAACATATTTGGGCTTTTAGATCTGTCGATGGTGATCATCGAAATGCTCAAGAATAAAAACGGTGTTATAAAAAGAACTGTAACGATATTAATGATGGTGATGATAGAACCCAGTCAAATATCTCTTGCCGATATTATCGGTTCCCTTTAGCTTCTATTTATTTTTTTCTCTCTCCTTCTCCTACTTATATATTACTTATTCATCTTCTCTTTTCTTTTCGGCTCAGCAACGCGTACCACTGATGTCTTTCTTTTCTCTTATTCAGTTTTTTTTCTTATTTTGTCTTTTTCTTTACGCAAAAAAAGACTCTTGGCCTATTCAAATAATTAACGAAAAAAAAACAACAAAAAAATCGAAAAAAGTTAAAAAAAAATGAACCAAAAAAAGATAAAAAAGGACATTTTTTGTAAACACGTATAAAAAAATATCAGTAATTTCTATTTGCGTATGCGCCTTCTTCTTTTCTTCTTCTTCAACTTTTTCTTTATTTTAGTGCTTTTTCAGTGAACCTACGACGATGGAAATATACCATTCCATTCCCACTAGAGCCTTATTTCATGTTTGACTCTTTCTACTTGACCCTGTGTGCAATATACATATGTATAAATTGGTTCTAGTTTTCTCAACAGTTCGACTTATTCTTTCTCTCAGACTCATGTACATATAATGGGCATTGATATGCCTCTTTTTTTTCTATTATTTTTTTCGTGTGTGTGAGTGTTCATTTTTTTTCTTTCGTTCATTGTTGCTTGTTTGACTGTTTCTCACATGATTGCGAACTATTCTATTCTGAAAACCAAAAAAAAAACATTTTGTTGTTCTTTTTTTCTCCTTATGCTAACTTTATCTATACGTGTAACTTTTTCTATCTGTTCGAATCAGCCCGAGAAAAAAAAACGTGTTCATGTAGAATTAGACAGATATACTTATATGTGTGATGGATGCATTTTCGGAATAAAATACCGACCCATTGCGAATGTTGATTTCAGTTATTAGACTGACCAACGGAAAAAAATATATATACAAATATATTTTATTTTACTTTACTCGATTCATTCAATTGATAATGACAGCTAATCAATAATATCAGTAGATGTAACTTATTTTTACTTCTTTAGAAACATATAGATGTCTTCATTGGGAGCAAATAATAGTAATAATACTACTTCTACTACTAATAATAATGAAGAGAGCAAAACAACAATTTATTCAATGCTTACAGATCAGCCTATAACAATTCCTGATTCTTGTCTTTTTGGTACTTGTAGGTAAGACATTAGTCAAGTTCGAGATTTATCTGTGATTTATAAGAATGAGATGAAAAAGTAAAATTATTATGCGTGTGTATTGTTTTTAGTACAGCGTGGTAAGAATTCACTTGTGAGATTCGATAGATTTTCTTATTTATACGATAGTGTACAAGCATCTGGTTTAAAATATTCACTTGCGAGTGGATAGTTTCATGAGCAAGTGTCGGTGGGAAAATGTCTTTTGAGTTCATGTAATAATTATTAATACCATGTAAATTTGATTGATTTGTATTTTGTTCGACAAACTAGTTTTATTTAAATATTGCTTTTCACTCTACTGGGCTAGCTGAAGTTATTTTCTCCTTAAGCCTAATATTCTATTTAATTTAATGTATTTTTGTAGTCTATTTCATTAAATTACACTTGCGACTAAAACATGAAGTTTAAAGAATTTCGATTGCTGAAAACAAGCTTATTCTTCGCCATCACTTATTAGTTATAAATTCTTTCTACTAATGAAAGCCGCCAGAAAAACATTGATTTCAAATTCAACCAATTAGTTAGATCAATTATTTTTCATATGCTTACAACGTTCTACTGTGATCCTACAAAACTTTATATTCTTTATCACAGAAGAACATAGAAAAAATTACAAATCATTGAGGAATATTTTGAAAGAAACATATTGACATCAGTAGTAAACTTCTCGGAGAAGAAGACATTTTCGTGACCAAACTAATACAAAAGAATCTTTATTGATTTATATACGTGTGATAATATTTTGAAAATATTTAAAGCGGAAAAATAAAGAAAGAAAGCGTTTAACAGTTATTTCTTCTATTACTTGAATAAAATGGATTCTAATAAAAAAACCTTTTGAAAAGATCATTAACTATTAGATTCATAAGGGAATTAAAACTCTAGTAGAAAACGTGTTGATTAGATTATTGTAGAAAGAGACGCTTTGCTGCAAGTTGTGCATTTTATATGTATATAAACATGTTGTGTTGAAGAAAATAAATTCATTGATACTCTTTAGACCTGTTTCTGAATTTGAAAAATTAAATTGTATTGGTAAAGGCACATATGGTGTCGTTTATCGTGGCCGAGACAAAATTAGTCAAGAAATCGTTGCTTTAAAAAAAGTTCGTATGGAAAATGAACAATGGGGCCTACCAATAAGTTCCATGCGTGAAATTAATCTTCTGCTTAATTTACGACATGAAAATATCGTTGAATTACGTGAAGTAGCTGTTGGTAAATCATTACGTTCAATATTTCTTGTGATGACTTATTGTGAACAAGATCTTGCCTCATTACTTGATAATATGTCACAACCATTTACTGAAGCACAAGTTAAATGTATTGGATTACAATTATTTCGCGGTTTAAATTATGTACATAAACGTTTTATTGTACATCGTGATATTAAAGTATCAAATTTATTGTTGACTGATCATGGCTATTTAAAAATTGCTGACTTTGGCTTAGCAAGACAATTTACATTACCAAATGGTTCTATGACACCCATGGTTGTTACACTTTGGTATCGAGCACCTGAACTTCTCTTTGGTTTGACGATACTTTCTGGTTTAGCGAAAAACAATAATTGTTGAATTTTCTTTTTTTCTAGGTTCTAAATATCAAACTACAGCGATTGATATTTGGTCTGCAGGTTGTGTTCTTGGTGAATTATTGTGTCATCGACCGTTGTTGCCAGGCCGTTCAGAAATTCAACAAATCGATTTGATTATTGAAATGTTTGGTACACCAACGGAAAAAATTTGGCCAGGTTTAAATGATTTACCTTCATTGAAACATTTTTCTCTTCGTCAACAACCATATAATAATGTGAAACAAACATTTCCATGGTTAACTAATGCTGGCTTACGTCTTATTAACTTTATGTTTATGTATGACCCGTGCAAACGGTAAGAAGCTGTTCAAAATAGATTATATTTTTTGAATATACGTAAGCCCGAACAAGTCAATTAAACCTTCCTGAACTGTGTTTTTATTTCTCATCTTTTTTATGGATAACATTTAAATCTATGATACATCTCATAAATATTTGAGAATGAATATTTCAGATATTTATAAACAATCAATTTCAATAGTATTCTGAAAAGATTGCGAATAGAAAATTTCTTGTTTATGATTATTTGCTTGTCATTTTGTTGTTCATTCCAAGTCTTTAAAATAAGATGCGAAGATCGTTTTTCAATTCCAGTTTTCGAAGATCGTTTCTTTCTTTATCTGAATATTGTGAAGAACACTTTTCTATACCATATTCAATTAAAATGTTCTTCAACAAAATCCTAATTGTTACGTTGTACTTTTACTGTCTTTTCATTGATGTATGTGTCACTACCACTCAATTCATAATCACTCAATATAGAATAAAGATCTACCATAGCAAACAATTCTAGCATACTTTAAACAGCTACTTTGTTTCTAATGTTGCTATCAACCAGAAAATTTTATCGACATGGAAGCGTTTTGCTTTACTTTCCTTTTTACTTATTCTCATGCACAGATACGAAGGAAATACACTTTAATATATAATCAAATATCTATATCAGAGCTCCGCGTGGGACGAGATGGGACGAACATTTTTAGAAAATTTTAAGCAGACCTGAAAGAATCGAAGTCTCTTTCGAGATGATTGTATTATATACTTACTATCTTTATCCATTAAAATTATATTTATTGACATAAGTGACCGCTTTCAAATTTTATTCTCATATTTTAAAACATTTTCGNAAGGAAATACACTTTAATATATAATCAAATATCTATATCAGAGCTCCGCGTGGGACGAGATGGGACGAACATTTTTAGAAAATTTTAAGCAGACCTGAAAGAATCGAAGTCTCTTTCGAGATGATTGTATTATATACTTACTATCTTTATCCATTAAAATTATATTTATTGACATAAGTGACCGCTTTCAAATTTTATTCTCATATTTTAAAACATTTTCGTTATATGCTGTTCAATTTATCAAAAATATTTTTAAAAAACGAATACAAGCTTTTGAAAGTCATCTAAGACAACGATCTTAATTTTAATGGATAGAGATAGTATGCATATCATAGAATCATATCGAAAGAGATTTTGATTCTTTCTTGTCTGCTTAAAGTTTTCTGAAAATGTTTGTCCCATCCCGTCCCACGCGGAGCTCTGATCTATATTACCGTTGTTTAATCGTAGTCATCTAGATTGATTCCAATAATTTGTTTGACGTTGTTTTTTATCATGATGAATACTTAATTATGCTCTACTTCATACGTATATTATTAGCACGAGAAAAAATAGACAGGCAAACGGGGCCCGGAAAAAGCAACCTATTAAATCAATATATACATATGTATGTTTCTCTATTTTTTCAGAGCAACTGCAGAGGATTGTTTACGAAGTTCATATTTTAAAGAAGCACCATTACCTTGTGAAAACGATCTAATGCCTTCATTTCCTCAGCATCGTAATCAAATGTCATCTTCATCTAATCAATCACGACCAGCATTATCAGCGTGTTTATCTTCTTTATCAAATGAACCTACTTCTGCAGTAAACGATAGTCGTAAAAGACAAAATTTGCCACCACTTCGTGTTGGTTGTACCAATGTGAAACGAACTCGAAAATCTTAATAAAAAAATATTTTTTAGAGTATTTTTCTTGTTCAATTGTTGTAAAAACTTCCACCATTCTAGATGGCTAGTCAGGGACAAGCGGCTCAAGTTGGCAAATTATTTCGTGCCATAGCATGTTCAGGTATGCAGAAAACGTTCGAAAATTTCTTACGATTTATTTTCTTACTTGTTAATAAATGAAGGTGTTGTTCTTGGTCCGTATATCTATACAATGGCTCGACCAGAAGAAACATTAAAATATAGATTTCTACGATCGACAAATGAAAACGGAGAACTCGTTAAAGTTGATTCATCATATAATCTATGTGCAACTGAAGTAAATCAATATGATTATTGTGTTAATACGTAGATTCTTCTATTTCTTGATTAGACTGCTTATCGAATGGGATTGCCTGAGCAATTACGTCGCACGCCTACGTTTGACATTCGTTTATCTGTACATACAGGAATGGATTTTGATATAAATGGTCATTTTACACCATTATTTAAAGGTATGGTTTATTTAATGGTTCCACAATGGGCTAATATATCATCCGTTGATGATTTGAAAAAAGTCAAAATAAATATCGCCGGTCAAGAAATTGATTTTGCTAATCTTGACATGTCACGTATTAATACGAGTAAATTACAATTACAATTGAACAAAAATGAACGCTCAACAGTTGAACCAGAAAAGACTATCTCAAAAGCGAACGAATCAACATTTTGGTTTTTTCGTTGGTTTACTAGTACTTCCCCAACCCCAACCCCAACCCCACACCCATCAACAACATCACCACCAGTATTATCGTCATTGTCCTCGTCGTCAAAAACAATTGAACCAGTAACACGTAAAAATTTGTTTTTAATTTACAAAAAACCAATTTCACGCTTGATTTATCTCTGTAATTTAGGGGAAATGTTACTCGTACAAAAACTGATTGAAACATTTTCTCTTTCGAATGAAGCAAAAAAATATATAATTGCTGATCAATATGAAACAGCATTAGGCCCATGGCACATGATGGCATGGTGTTGCGTTGGTGGTTCATTTTTTCTTCCATTTACACTCTATACACGTCTTCGCTTACAATTTAAAACACGTTTTAAACGTTTTCTATTTTTTCATTTTCTTCTTTTCAATGGTCTGTTATTTTTTTATTTGTCACCATTTGTTGGTCGTCTTATTAACATGCAAGTTAGTCGTATACGTGATTCAACAACAACATCATATGGTTTAGACATACTCGAAGGTGGAATTGAATATTTGGAAAAACAACTAGAAAGAAATCGTATTCTACGTGAACTATTACCCAATGGGAAAGATCTTTTTGACCAAGATGGCGAACGAAGAAAAACACGCGTTACAATACCTTATAGCGGTGGATTATCGTTTTCATTATATCACTGGAGTCCATTAATTGCTTATCGGCTTAAACGTTTAAGGGCTAAAATGGATATATTAATGAATGCACCAGAAGCCGAAGCACGTAAAACAATATTTAAGGCAGTACCAGAGAGTACATTTGTCGATAAGTCTTTCTGATTAAGATAAAATTTTTGTTTCAATGAATTTGTTGGCTTTTATGAAAACAATAAAAACATAAAATAATCAACCAATATAGAATTTATCAAGTAGACAATAAATAGAATTTTTCTTCACAGAATATTCTAGAAGGTTACTATTGACTTCTACAATAATTTATGAAATACAAATATCACAACTTCTATAAAAAAAAGAAGTCGTTGAAAATTAATTGTTACTATGCATATTACAAAAATGAACCTGAATAGAATATTTTGATTAGATTTGTACTATAATACCATTTATGTACGACTCGTCGATGAAAATTACAGCGTTCGGTCCTACTTTCAAATTGTCCAAAAGCTAGCTGATTTTTACTAATTTTGCTGTTTCTTTTCTTTCGGATATTCTCCGCAACTGGATGTCTTTCTGAAAATCTATTCGTTTTATGACAATGCACAGATGCGTAGTGCAAAAGAATGAAATTAAAATCTTCATATGAATTGAAAGCTATTTTGAATATTCACCTTATCGAATTAGTATATAATATATTATATACTAATGCGAAGTATACACATCATACGACAGCAGAATCCAATAAACACAACAGTTCGTATCAATACAATTTTGTTGGTTGTTACCAGTTCAATGGATGTAAAATTTCGAAATTTCTAGTCATCAAAAAATCACCATGTTCTTTAAAACATACTATTCATCATTAATTTGCTACTATGTGAACTACTAAAAAAAAACAGAGCTCGTAGACGCGTACTTTTTCACAGATCATAAGAGAATTGTTATGTCAACTGTTCAAAAATATCAAAATTTGATTAGTAATTCAGTATTTTAATGAATTTGAAAAGTATACTCAGTGAAAATCATAAAGAAATTTCAAAATTGCCACAAACTCCCATAGATCCGTTGAGATATTTTCACTTGTTTTGTATCATCTATTTCGTAGCGCCATCTAGCAACAAAAATATCTTGCTTTTCTTACATTGGTAAAAAACCATATGACTGATTTATTTTAGTAAGTACAGCAAAGACTCATAAAAGAAACAAAAAAAAGAGCATTATGAAAATATTATTTATTGTCTTCTCTTCTTTCCTTTTCTCTTACCAGGAGATTCTATATCGTTTTAGATGTATTACTTTTCTAATATTAATCTCATTTTCAATATATAATCTGCTCGTGCATCAAATGATTCGATGAACAGAGTTTCAGTGTGGCAAGAGTTCAATGCATGGTACAAGCATACTATTTATTGCTATTATCCGTTTTTTGTTAATACTTTTTTTCTTCTTTTAGCCAATTTCTTGTTTCATTTTGTTTACTGATCTTTAGCATTCTTTACGCTTTTCGCAAACAGTTATTCATAAATTGGCCATATTGGTTGGTTTTTTTACCACTATTTATATGGAAATTTTTGGCCATTATAGGAGCTGTTATTGGTATTTGTGCTTATTGTTGTATACGATCGAGAAAGTAAATTTATTGAACATAAAAAGTTTTAGTGTTTTTTTTAATTTTATCTTTGAAACTTTATTTTTTTAGTCGTGAACGTAATTCACCAATACAATGTCGAGCGTTATTCTTTAATTTAATTGAAACAATTCTTCTACTTTTTTTTGAAATCTTAGTTTGCTATAATCTTGACCAACCGGATGATTCTGAATATCATTTAACATGGATTATTTGTTTTTTGCCATTAATTATTCTTTCCATTGTGTCTGTATTTACTTACGTTTGGTTATTACGTCATGGTCGTTCTTGGGAGGTAAACAAAATAACATAGATTATCCATTAAAACTGTTCTTTTTCCATTGATTTAATTACAGATTCAAGCACTATTTGTTGTTAATATTCTACAATTTATTTTCTTTGCTCTTAAATTAGACAATAGTATTATTACATGGCATTATGCGGTTTGTTTATAGTTAAAACATTTTTTTTGATGTTCACTAGAAAATCATTCTGATGTTCTAGGCAGTGTTTATTCCATTGTGGATTGTTATGGGTATATCAATTCTTTTTTGCATTGGTCGTCTCATATGGACGCTTGTACATTATCGTCGAAATGATATTAATCAGAATACAAATGGACAACAAAGAATAAACCGACGTTATTGTCAAATTTTAGCAAGTTCAACTGTTGGACATATTTATGTACTTTTGTTTTTATTGATTTTTCAAGTAAACTTTATTTTTTTTATTTTAAAATATTTAAATGAAAATAAATTCTTTTTGTTTTTGCTTACTTAGACACTTTTAGTCTTTTACTTAGAACATACTTTTGATCTTTCATTTATTATTGTTTGTCTACCATTGTATATTGCATTAGTAATACTCATCTGTATGTCATTTGGTAGTCGCGTACCACCTAATCATTGTAAGAAAGATTGAGTTTATCTTTTCATATAATGCAAATTAACTGTTTTTTTATTATTATTATTTTAAAGGGTGGTTCGGTCTAAGACAAGATACTTGCGAATGGCTTTTACATTTATGTCCGCTATTTGAAACTTACGCCAATATTGAATATAATTTTACATCAAATTCTACAACAGTATCATTGCATAATGTTGATTCAACAAGAATACATTCAACAGTCATATCCAATGTACAATCGAATCAAGATATTGAACAATCTCGTCGTCATCAGAGACATTCTCGTAGATTTTGTTTTCGTAAAAACTCATCATCGCGTTATGATCAAACTAAAAACGATCATGTTGAAGGCGAATTATTAACAACAGTAATATTGCCTGCACCGAATATTTTCAAATTGCATGAACCTGATTAAATAAAGAAATAACAAGATATCGGTTGTCCATAAAAAAAATGGAATCAGCTAAGTATTTTTTTGATTTTAGATGAATCTATAATGGATGGACACCTCGCGGTATATACAATCCTGTAATCCAGCGTAAGTAAATTTAAATATTTCTTTTTTCATTTTTCATTTTTAATAATCATTCTTAAAAATTCAGACGTTTCGTTGTTACTTTTGCTCTATTGATATTTTCAATTTTATTCGCATTGAAACTCGATGGATATATCAGTATTAGTTATTGGCTTATTTTCTTACCATTATTTATATGGAAAATGCTCGTGGTTATTGGTGCCTGCACAGGCGTCTTTTTCTGGTGTAAAAATGGCGACAGAGATAGGTAAAATTTTATAATAAAAATATCTAGAAATCTATATGAGTTCATGTTTTTTTTTAAAGGATCATTCGCGCACCAGATAATGATTGTCGAGCATTAATTATTTATTTTTTTCTTCATATATTTATATTTACATTTGAAATATTGACATGTGACAAGTTAGAGAATAATTTAGAAATTCGCTGGATTGTATGTTGTATTCCATTATATCTATGTACATTTTTAACTTTTCTATCATGCTTATGGTCATTAAAAGTTCAACGAAATTTTCTCGTATGTTACAATTTTCATCTGAAGAACGAAAATAAAATACATTAATATTGATTATCTACTTTATTTAGATTCAAGCTTTTATCTCAGCTAATGGACTTTTCTTTTTGTTTTTTCCACTTCGTTTAGATTCTTCAATAACATGGCGATATGTTGTATGTATTCTTGTTGTTGTTGTCTTTGATTAATACGTTAATAGTACGGTTTTATTTTTCAATATAGGTTGTATTTATTCCAGTATGGATTTCTTTATGTATTGCTTTATTATTTGTTATTTCAAAATTAATACTTGCTATTGTCCATCGTTGTTCTCGTCGTTTAATAGCTAATCAACGTGAATCGAGTACTATAACAGAAGCCATTATCTATGGAATTATGTTCATTCCATTCGCCATATTTGCGGTAATTAAATACTTTATACTATTCTCTCTGAACCTCTACATTAAAAATTTTTCGAGACTATTAGAGTAACAATTTATAAAGGTGCAGCAGACGAACAAATATTGCTCGATTTGAAACTTGACGTTTCACTTAAACTAGCTTTGATATTGTTTTTTCGTAAATTATATTATGAATCGCGTTAAATACTATGCTAAATTTAATAAGAAAATAAGGAAAGGTATCAAAAACGATGTTAATGGAATTAGGAACATTTTTACCATACGTCTCTAAACAATTTAGTATTATTAATTTGCTTGTCAGATCTTGGATTGTTCAACTATGAGATTTTAATTGTCTTAGAAGAAAATGGCCAACGAGAGGCTCAATGATTGAGTTTTGAGCTAAAATTTCAATCGTATACAAGCTATGTAGCTCGCTCAGTGATACTACGAGTTTAAGGCAAGGTGATTATGTCGTTAATGGAATATTATACACTTCTAAAAGAAATGTCTGATATGACCTTTGTTTCAAAAAACAAAACTTTATCGTATAACAACCTAATATCTTGATATAAATACATGTTCCAGCTGAACCTTCAGGTCAGAGCTCCGCGTGGGACGAGATGGGACGAACATTTTTAGAAAATTTTAAGCAGATCTGAAAGAATCGAAGTCTCTTTCGAGATGATTGTATTATATACTTACTATCTTTATCCATTAAAATTATATTTATTGACATAAGTGACCGCTTTCAAATTTTATTCTCATATTTTAAAACATTTTCGTTATATGCTGTTCAATTTATCAAAAATATTTTTAAAAAACGAATACAAGCTTTTGAAAGTCATCTAAGACAACGATCTTAATTTTAATGGATAGAGATAGTATGCATATCATAGAATCATATCGAAAGAGATTTTGATTCTTTCTTGTCTGCTTAAAGTTTTCTGAAAATGTTCGTCCCATGGGACGTCCAACACGGAGCTCTGCTTCAGGTATCAAGAGTCACTATAAAATCTATGTATGACCAAAGCATGAGAACGAAAATCAATCATAAAAGTTATCAATCTCATCAATGTTGATCGAATGATATTGCTTTCATGTAAAATATAACTGGATAGTTTGAAAGGCTCCATCGTAAATGTGCTCAGTACATGTACAAGCATTGAAATATACCTATGATAGTATACAGTCAGCGACTTAGCAGATCCTATACCAATCGATAGTTAATCAATTTCAAACTATGGCCGCTTCATTAAACTTCATATTGACTAGTGATTGTCAGTAAAACATTAATAAAAGCAAACAAAAGTTTTCGCTTTATATTTTTCTTTGTGAATATATTATGTTTCAATCAATTCTTGTGATCTATAGATTTTGCTTGTCGATCGACTTGACCTTGAAGAAACTGAATCAATTGGAAAAGTCTCCTTCACTGTGATAGCTATTCCATTATGGGTTACTTTAATAGCTTGGCTAACCTTTTCATTTGGCGCTACCGATAGTAATCCATGTAATTTTATCTAAACTATAATGTAAAACTAAGTTCTAATTTTTCTTCTCTATTTTACAGGGTGGTTTGGCCTACGACTTGATTTATGCGAGATTATACTTGGTCAATGTTCATTTATAACACTTTATTTTAATAATAAATTTAAATTTGAACCACGTCCATCAACAACAGTACCAACGAATGATATCGTTATTGATATGACAACAGCAAATATCAATAAAAATGCTGGATCGATTCAAATGAAAAAGTTATTATCAACAAATATAAGCATCGAAAAAAATCGCGCCGTACAATCTAATTTTATGTCACTTTTAGAACCTGATTAATTGAAATGGAATTCTTTTCTAATCATAAGACGAAGACGAAATTGGCTTTTGTTTTTTTCTCGAATTCCGGTGATGTTCGTCTTCTTATTAAATCGTTGCTGCCATTTTATGTTGTAGTGAAAAATCATCAAATATTTAATTGAATATTTCTTGTAAATAAACTTTATTTGTTTTATATGAGAATCCACCTAGATTTCAGGCGAACAAAATGCTAATATTACAACAAAAAGAAAAAAGGATTAATAAATATATGAGAAATGAAATGCGTTTAGTCCAAATCTAGTGTCGTAGTTAAAGTAAGCTTTTCTTATAGAACGAAATCAAGAAAGTTCGATGTTTATCGTATAACAATGAGATTTTGAGGATATATTTAATTAGAATTATTTTATACATTATACAAATAATGCAATGTAATATTTGATAGATATTTACAAAAGTCAAACATAAATTACTTGGAATGCAAAAAAATCTTTATTTGTGAAATATATTCATCAAGTCAGAAATAAATAAGAAATAAAAATCTTAGGATATATTATTTCATACTCCTATTGACCACTACTCGTGAAAGTGTTCGCTTTGATTCATAGAATTCTAATTGTAAAAAATAGTAAATTTTAAATTCTCTTTGTATGTAAGAGTAACAGAGATAGCAATTTATGACGAAGATAAATTATCAGAGATAATTTCAATCATATCATATGAAGTTATTCATCAAGTCAATTTACTAATTCGAAAAGGATTTATTGTCTAAACAAGAAAATGAAAACAACCTGAATCAACTTTAACACATACACTCAAATCTAAAAACTGATGTTTATCAATTTTGATAATGTTGCATGATAGAATATTGAATTTGTTCATCATCAATTGTTGTTGATTGAGTAAATTTCAATTTTTCAGTTATTGCAGATGTAGTTAAATCTGTTTCAATATCGATGAGAATATGACCAGTTGCATTAATAACGTTATCAATATTAGCAGATGCTTCATTAATATTGACAACAATAAGATCAGTAGTTGGATCTTCTGAAATACACGTTGTTTCTTCTTCATAATTGACTGGAGTTGATTGAATATCTTGTTCTTCTGTTTCATGTGATTGTTCAACAGTTACATATTTATCATCTTCATAAGCAAAAGATTCGGTTATTGTTGTATTAGTAGATTCAGTAATTAGTTCATTCGTAACTAATTCACTATCAACTATTGGAGCAGTTGAAATAACTGTAAGCAAGGTTAAAAACAACACTAATGTAACACGACTGCTAAGCATAATTGTTTGCATTAAATATATGCGATGCACACAAAAAGATAGAAATAGATCAACAAGTAAAAATATCTTTAAGAACATGCCCTTATATCGAATCAAAAAATCTATGATAACATTCTCTTTTCCTCTATTTCGTTATCGCTATTGTTTTGTTTTGTTTTCTATATTCGAATGATCTATAACGTTTTGCTATCGTAGACAATGATGACAGGCTGAATTTGAATTATTCAAACTTTACCAAACCGTTTGATATATCGTCATGAACATATCTAATTATATTCTTTATATAGCTACTTTTTTAGTTAGAACTAATCACATGTTTGTCTATATTTTGTTTGTCAAGAGAAAAACGATTTTGAAAAGTCATGCGACCTTCAATTATTTTCTCCTTTGACTATTTTAGAAGAGATGTATAAAGATTCAAAATTCATATTCTTTCTTTTATTCAGTCATACGAGTCTGTACATCATTCGAGCAATAATGAAAAAGCTTTAATTCTGCAATATGATACTTTGATTATAGTGATAATAATTCGACATGTAAATCAACTGGATAGTATTCCTGTTTGTGTCCATCGTGTTTAAGAAAGAAAACTGAATTATTTATCAATAGCTAACGTTACCACAAAATATGAGCAAAGTTAATAAATCAAAGTTGAATAGATATTGTTAAGTTATCAATCATCATTTCGCTACATGAAATATGGATCTGTTTATTGTTGATCTCACAACTATATGTATCGAGAGAGAGAGAGAGAGAGAGATCCACAACTCCTAATTTGCTATATATAATGAGAATGCTCATAGAACTATCTTGAATTATCGAGAGAATCCTTCTGTTTTATGATTCTCGTTCGCGCTCATTCGTAGTAGTCGATGACAACAATACAAATTCCAATAGGATATCCATCACTAGCATTTTATTCTTAATTTTCAATCATTATTTAGCAAATTTTCAACCTATTTATTGCAGAGTACTACGAAGAAAATTTAATCGAGGAATTTTTCTAGCCTGTAGCTTAATCTAGAAATAAATTTCATGTCCGTTATTCTATCGTGTAGATTTAAACAAAAATGACTACATATAACTGAAGCTAACAGCATCGAAAACTCTCTTGTTCATCACAAAAGTTTCATACGAGTTGATTTTTTTTGTGGAGTTGCGAGTTGAGAAAGATTGGCATCATAACTGTGACTAAGCTAATAAATTCGTACAGTAGAATTAGTTGAGAATATTTTAAGATTTTATTCTGTGTATGCATGTATTATATCCAGTTTCATTGAGAATTGAATAGAGACCAAGAAAGAATCATGTGTTACTAAATAAAGTTGTTTTTGGCCGTATCATAAGAAAGAGTTGAAAATTTTTGATAAATAGTCTTGACCGTATAACTACTTTCGTAAAGTAGTTTGTTGTCGCAATGTTTACCATATCAGATCTTGATGGATCTTATAAGAATTTCCTATTTTAAATTTAATTCAATTTTAGTCTAAATAATTTTTGGGCTCAAAAGAAAAAAAATCATAACAATATAGTCTAGTGAGTTGTTTTCATTTCAAAGAATGACTTCTACCGTCATTCCTGAATTGGTTGCAATATGCGACCATATTTAGTTCATAATCAAAAATATTGACTGTTTGATTTACATCAAAATATAATAGATACTTCTACGACAATAACTTTCTTAATACAAGTACTCAAGGAATATCGACTTTGAAGAATACCGCTTACTGAACTTTTTTTGTGTATCTAGGCAATTCTATGATCATGTTTATATTTAGAAACGAATCAAAACTAACGAACCATCTTCATTATATATTTGTCAATTATATAAAACGACAGCTATGTTCATTTCAATAGTGTAATTCTATGGTTGATTATGTTTTAATCTGTAAAGAAATTTCAAGTCTTTTTTGTGGCTGCTCTTCTAGTTAATAATATTGAAAGGATTCATTCGATTTCTCTGATTTATCATTTTGGAAATCTTTTCTATAATATTCATTCGGCAACCGTAATTACAATGAGATTTAATCGAAGCCATTTCTTTTTTTCTTCTCTTCTATTTGCGCTAAAGATTTATACTCAGATGTCACTTCTGAATGTAATCGTAGAGTATACCTTGATAACAAGAAAAATAGTTGTTAAATATTTTAATTAAATCAAAAAATAAATAGTCCTATTTCACTTAGAAATGTTCTTGAAGAAATATCTCATATCTTATTAGCAATGCAATTTTAAGCTGGTATGGTATAGAATGAATTCTTTTGAAAGACGAAAGAAACATTTTTATTAAATGTAAATTCTTAGTATAATTATTTGTATGATCATTTCGACTGTTGTTCCCTGAGGCGTTATTATTGTTCTTCTACTTTCAATATAAGATGGTGACTCAATCATTGGCGTCAAAAGACTAATCACCTTCTGCTCGTTGATTATATTTGGACATGCGTTCAATCAATATTCGTACGATAAGTATTCAAAAAGAAAAAAAAATAGGCGTTTCTCATTTTCTTTTTCATTCACATATCCAGATTTTTTTCTCAATAGTTCGAATACTTGTCATTTTTTTTTTGAGCAACAGATCAAATAACATAGTTTGAAATGCTTCAATTACTTGGGAAAGCTCCTTTTTCAGCATACACAAATACAGATAGGCACGCACACACACCAAACAAAGCAACAAGACAAAATGAGAAATATAGTCATAAAAATTAAACGGCTGTTTGAGTAGAAAGAGAATTGGCAAAATCTTGGAATGTTGTACTACTCTGTGCTTTATGATTATGAAAAGCAGCTGCTGCATGTGCTGCAGCAAGAGTAGCTAATTCATAAAACGATGTTGGATCAAAACGATGATGCTGTTTTGATGATGATGATGAAGAAGAATAATCACTGGGTAATACGAGAGGATGTTTTATAATGGAATTATTTGACGACGAGGGTGGAGTTTGTAAAGATGCAACAACTGAATTTAATGATTGACTTGCTTCAACTATTTGACGTTTAAGTCTAAATAAGAATTAACAATTAGATATTAAAATTAATCTTAATTCATAAATATTTACTTATTTCGTCGATTTTGAAACCAAATCTATTAAAAGAGAAGATAAATTATTTATTTCTTGTAAAAGAAAGAAAAATAAGAGTTTTCTGTTTACTTTAACTTGCTGTTCTGTAAGATGTAGACCTTGAGCTAAATTGGCTCGATCGGCACTAGATAAATATCGTTTTCGATCAAATGTTGTTTCTAATTGAAATATTTGTGTACGTGAAAATACTGTACGTGTCTTTTTTTTTCTATGAACAATTTCATGCTGATTATATTGATTTATTATTCCATCTTCTGAACAACTTTCATCATCGTCACTGGCTGATGAAGCTGAACCATCGCTACAACCGTGTAAGTCATCATCAGTATTCATTAAATGAGTATGTTTATGTTCGTCAGTCGATAGATGTTTTTCATCGTTACCATTGATAAGTAAATGATGATGTTTTATTTTAATAAATATTGGTTGTGGTTTGTCGAGTATATTATCAATTGAAAAAGTTAATTTTTTGTGTACGGTTATATCTTGTTCTTCCATTTAAATTGTTTGATTTATGTTTAACGGAAATTACATGGACTCCTTTTTAGTGCAATTATCTTCTCCTGCTGTGTTTGTATGTGTTTCTCTTTTTTTTCTTCGCTCTCTCTCTCTTAAGTTAATCTTTCGCCAATCAAGAATGAGAGCCAATGAAAAAACAAATGTGCATGGTTGATAATCATTTCTCAATCGGCCAATCGGCGACAATTTCTTTTCTAGTGTATGAGAAAAAAAAATATATGAGCAAAGAAAAGAAAAGTGAAACTGACATTGTCTAATGGAGCAGGAAATGGATTTGATGCGCATGCTCTTAGCTTCCTAAGGTGATAATCGGTTGAATGATGAATAGACCAGGAAAAAAAACGAGAGGTTCAGAGCTCAATTAAATTAATTTGTTACCTTAATATAGTCACACTCTTTTTGTTTAAAAGAAAAAAAGAAAAGTAATGATAATTAAAATTAGTGTTCTGATAGTTTTATTTAATCGAATATTCGATTTGATTTCGCACTCTTACCATCTGTATATTTATATGTTCATTCATCCCGTTTGGTTTATTAATAGCTTTTACTCTGGTGTCGCATAGGGAGTTAGGTTCATTCATTTGGCTATGTTTGTGATGCTGTCATTTGATAATGTATCTCCCTATCTCTCTTTTTTTGTTCTCTTCTTCTCATATGTCGAGGCACAATGCGCATTAATCGGATTTGATGCAGTTACTCATAATATACGCGCTCTTCTTCACCTATCGATTGCGCGAATGTCTATCTCTTTGTCTGTCTGTCTCAAAGGGACAGCGAGCAAAAATCAGAGGCATGAACATGGCTGTCATTTGACATTAATAAGGCGGGCTTCTCTTTTCTTTGTGAAAGTGAAATGCGCCTATTCTCATTCGGATCAAACCAAATAAGATTCGATAAAGCTCGTTGAATCATAGTAGAAAAATGCAATTAGTTCAAATGTCATCTTGGCTGGATTGGTTGCATTAATATTAAAATGATAATAAGAAAACGAAAGACTAGTTTTTTTTCTTGTTGGTTGGACTAACTTAATCGATAATTAAATTGAAAAATCAATAATTAACTACTGCGATAAATTCAATTTTTTTCTCTCATGAATAGTAAATTAGCGTTTTTTATCATCATCATTATCAGCAAAAGATATTATGTCAATGATCAGTTTTGGTTTCTTCTTAATAGTAGCGGCGGCACCCCTAAAGCAGCCGGTCGATGACAATTATCAGATGTGTATAATAGATGTGTGTAAATATGTGTTTAAAGAAAAGAAGAAAACGCTGATCATCAAACAGATGGGAAATTTTTTATGCGCAATACAATTTTCAGAAGAGAAGACAATCTATTACACCATCTTAACACTGTTGCATTGAATTTATCTCGAGACGCAAATGGTATTTTTCTTCGCTAAAAAAATAAATGTTGTTATTTCGATAAATGATTTCGTTGTAAAGCTTATACTATAAGTCAAGATAGAAAGATTTAGCTTGCCAATTAATACATTCTAATTGATGATCGGCATAAGACTTCTTTGAACTCAGTCAGTGGTACAAAAATTATTCAGACTTTTACCTGCCTGTGTGATTGAATACCTTGTGTTGTGTGAAAGTGAACATGCAATTGTTAAGTCTTTCCAATTAATTTCTTTTAAAATGGCTCCACCTACTTATTAATCTGTTTCTTTTTATCGTATTAAAAATGAATAAAAATCTGTCAGGTTTTTCTTTACTTTGTACCAATAATTTCAATATAACTTCTATACATGTTAATAAAAACAACAAAATACTGAAAAGCATGTCAGTCTCCCTCGTTATTAAGTGCGAAAATTACAATACTTAGTGAAAATGTAAACAATTACCAGCCGTTTTTGTTATTCTTTTCTTAAAAAGAAACTATATCAGCAGGATATGTCTATTTGATCTCGATTCTACGTAATTCATTGTATTTATACATGAGTTTTGTTCAACTCTTTTGATATGTTGAATATAGACTTGGCAGTAATTCGAGTATGTATATGTAAGTACACACACACACATTGTCCTTTCACAAGAATGAATATGTTTGAATGGTGGTAATGAGGCGAATGAGTGAACATATATTTAAATCATATTATGGCTTGTATCATGATGACAACTTTCGTTTCTCTTTACTCATCGATATCCACCTATGTGACAAAGAAGTTGAACGACAAATTGAAATGTTTGCTTCAATGAACATGAAGAAAAACATGATAATGCACTAATGAAATTGGCCCTTTGCTGTTTCTTTTTGGCTCTTATTTGTATCCTATATTGGTTGAGTACTAATGATTTGACGGCATTTACAATTATTTAAAATAAATAATTGAATATTTTTTAGTTAAATTTATTTTCTAATTAAAAATTTTGTACGCCCAGTGTCTTGAATTTGTATGAATATCTTTTTATATCTATATTTATAATCATTGATTTTCTTCTTGATAGCAAATGATTTTCTCAGTACGTATATAATTATAATTGATAATTGTTATTGCTCTTGGTGGCGTCGAAATAAATTTGAGTCTATGAGATATGAAGAAAATAAAAACGAGATGTACAAATATGCAATTAATCGTTAATAGAGTTTTGACGAACAATAATTGTGACGCCAATAAATTTATCTTAAAAAACTTTTTATTCGAATAAATAGAAAGAAAAACATTTATTGAATATGTCAACCAAAATTGACACAGAATTAAATATATAGATGTGCATACTCATTGATTTCGCTGACTAGTGAACCATCATTTTATTATAATTGAGAAACTATTGATGCCATGCTGATAAGAGTCGCAGAAGTATATGCATGACGAAGCCAATGAGGTTACCTTTTTGTTTTTGTTCTTCTCTCGTAGCTAAATGTATGTTTGCTTCTCATCTGAAAGTAGATCTAAATGAATAGGCCATAGAAAAGAATTAAAGTAGAATCTAAAGGTGATTACACACATTTCAACACGCTTCAATTAGTTCTAATTTTTTTTTTGTATTCATGGAAGTCAAATGTTTTCACTAATGTACCAAGAGGATTTGCAATTATTGTGAATCATTTTTAGAGATTAATATTTGATGAATGAAAAAATTTTTTTTTTATTATTGTTTGATTAATAGATATCTTAGCTAGAAAAAAATGAAAAGAAATAGGCTGACATCAAATTCCTATCGATTAGTACTTGTGAGAAATAGCTCTTTATTCAATGATTTATTGTCACCATCCTCTATGATAGAAGTATGCAAATTTGATTGATTTTATTCGAATCTTTTTTTCGTTGACTAACTTTTATCAAGGATTTCATTGAATTATGGATACCCATAGAAATAGAAAAAATAAGCAGCTATGAATTGAATTGTTGCCTGTTTCATACTAATATATATATGATCGTTTTCAAAGATGCTCTATCTCATCCAAACAACTAGCTATATGTATAGAAGAATTCACAATCATGTATCGAATAAAAAGTGTAATTCAATCTACACATTTAGAATTACAAGATCAAAACTCCATTATTATTATTATTCTCTATGATATTTTATCTTACTGGATCTTCTCATGGTAAAAACAGGACAGTATATGATTCACAAAAGATCAACTCATCAATGAGATATTAACAGATGAATCACTAAAAAAAAAGAAAACAATAAGCTGTGTCATGTTTTAAATGTATGACGCAAGATAAAATTTGACAGAGGGATCTAAAAATTACTTTCATTTTAAAACTATTCATTCAAATAGAGACAATGCCATATCCAGATGGTATAGCTTTTGTTCATGGACTCGATTTAAGTGAACGATTCTTTTTCGATATTGTAAAACCATTACTCGATCAATATTATCCTTTACTTCAATATACGGCTTGTTGTCTAGGGCCTGGCTCTGATGTACTACGTTTTGATTCAATTCAATCTCGTGATCATGACTGGGGACCAAAATTTGATCTATTCGTTGAAAATGAAGAGAATATCGATGAATTAAATTCTTTTTTTAATAAAAATCTTCGAAAAAAAACTGTTTGTGGCTATTCAACACAATTTCAACCATATCTTGAAGAGAATGGACGAATCACACTAATAAATACATCAAATGATCAAGAAAATACATGTCATGGTATTCGTATAATAACAATGAAACAATTTTTTATTGAATATCTCAATTGGGCAATTGATAATGGCGAACCAACACTTGAAGATTGGTTAACATTTCCTAGTCAACATCTATTAACTATAGCTCGAGGTCGGGTCTTTCATCATTCAGACAATATGAATATTGAACATATTCGATCTCGACTGGCTTACTATCCAAATGATATTTTGCTTTATTTAATGGGTTGTTGTTGGCAACGTATTGGACAAGAAGAACATTTAATGGGTCGTGCTGGGCAAGCAAATGATGAGCTTGGTTCTTCATTAATTGCAAATCGACTTATACGTGATATAATGCGTCTTATTTTTCTTTTAGAAAAACAATTTTTTCCTTATCCAAAATGGTTTGGAACAGGATTTCGACAACTAACAACATATGGTTCTGATTTTGAATCAATACTTCGACAAGTTCAATTAGCAAATACATGGCAACAACGTGAATATCATCTAAGTATAGTTTATCAGCATTTGGCAAATATTACGAAAGAAAGATTATTTAATAAAATAGAAAATCCAAAAGACACAATCACTACGGAAATCTCTCAATTTCATAATAGACCATTTCAAGTAATTAATGGCGGATCTATTGCCGATGTTATTTTTAATCAAATAGAAAATAATCATATTCGACAACTTCCAAAAATCGGTAGTATTGATCTATTTGCGGATAGTACAGATGTTATGGTTACAGAATTACGTTTAAAAATGAAAAAGATTTTTGAATGAAAGCGATAAAAAAAAATAGAATTGAACACAATCACATTAGATTATCTATTATTTTTCTTGTTGAATTTCATCATCATCATCATCATCATTATTTACTAAATCATTTTCTACAGTTATCATAGCAGCAGCTGCTGTTTCATCGATTTCGTCTTCAGCCACAGTAGGTACTTTGGTGGTTTTATCTTTAATCCAGTTTGGATAAGCTATACACGCATTATGTGTTAATTTTGAATACATTGGAACACCGAACTAATAAAAAACAAGACATAATCCAATGAATTTTTTTCTGTTAAAAGTATCTCTACTCACTTTAGCAACCCAAGTCCAAAGGGTTTTTGGAACATTACCACGGGGTTCTTCAATGTATAAAAAGACAGCTACAAAGTTTAAAAAAATCATGTTTCGATAATTTTTTGATTAATTTGATTAAAATATTCACATACATTTAAGACCTTTTGCACCATCTGAACAAAGTAATGTTTGAGATTGACAAGTTTCAATACGTACAATTTTCTTTCTTGGTGGTATGCTTTGAAATGGTTCTGTACGTGTCATTGCATAATAAAAATGCCGACTACCAATGTCATATTCGCCATAGTCTCGAACAAATGTATACTGCATTGTATTGAAAGAAAAATGACAGATATACATTTTTTTCAAAAGAAAAAACGAAAATATAGTAAGAAACGAAAACTATTGGTACTATTTCTATCTGATATACGATGTAACTGTTGTTGCTAATCGTCAAAAAATTGTTTTTTTCTAGTCAGTTTGGAACCAATTTCTTCGTCATTATTATACTTAGTCTTTTACGAATAAAATAAGGAAGTCATTTAAATATATTATAATGAGACATTATTGTTAGACGATCTGTGATTGTATTTCAATAACAGCTGCCTGTGTCTGTGTGGTTCACTTTTATATCTCGATATCAAAGGGTTCATTTTAGATCTTGTTTTCCGACAAAACATACATCACGGTTATCAATGAATAATGGCATTGCCACTTGCCAATAAACACCATTTTTTTCTCCATCACTTATTTCTTTTGCTTCTAAAAAAATAAAAACACACGTACAATCCATTATTTAGATTATATAAATGAAAACTATCAAGAGTAACCTTTGAGATATTTATCCCACACTAATCGATATTCTACATCAAGTGCAACTTTGTAGAATATTTCAGGTGTTACATCAGGAATATGTGAAAAACATTTATATTGTACTAATTTCTATCAAGATAAAAATAAAAGTCATAAGTTATATTATTTTTATCGATATTATTCATTAGGATATTTTACATGGTCATCATCAGTTCGTCGATAGACATTTACACCTGAGCCTTTAGCAAATAATTTCCAACTGGTAAGATTAGGTTGATCTATTTCTTGAATGAGTTCTTCGATAGTCATAGATGATTCCATTGTAATGCGATGAATACTTTCAACAGATAAGACGCTATTTATTAGAAGGACAAAAAGAAAAAAAAGATTTTTTTTCTCTCTTATCTTTTGCTTGTATGAGATTTTTTTTGTTCACATTAGTTTTTTCTTTCTGTCGCATTCAACGAAAGCCCGGATGTTTTCTATTATTATTGGTTGCTGTTTATGAAATCAAATTGCTAATGAAGCATTTTTTCAAGTGGAATTGTTAAAATTCATCATGTTTAAATACATTTCTGAAAGCCTTTTTTCAATAATTAAAGCCCTGGATAATTTTTAGTATTTTTATAGGCTAGTTTCGAAATGACGTCAATGTCTTCTTATTTAGTGGTTGTGCTATCTGTTCTGTGTTATTTCATAATTGCTGCGACGAGACACAATACTGCAGACTGTGTATGGAAACATGAACGAGTAATCCGTTCATTCTTTGAATTATTTCCTCTGGTTGATTGCCGCATGTTGTATAATAAAAATGAAGGCCAATAAGTTTTTCAGATAGAAAAATAATGGCTCAAACTTATTTATCTTTTATAAATAGACTGTTAACAAGATAAAATAACAGTATGAAAGTTATTTCATGAAGTACAAAATTAACGAATATCTTAACTGGGTCGATAGAGATAAATAACTTCTCGTATGTCACGCATTGTTGTAGTCTAGGTTCTTTTGTTTATGTTATAAATGTTCTGGATCTTCTCTCTCGTTGACAACTTCACTTATTGGAACATTTCCTGACTGATTGAGATCCATAGTCAACTAGTGGTACTGTTCTTCGACGACTGTGAAATGTCGGATGTATCAATATCTTGCTTGTTGAGATCATCATATCTAGTTTTTTCTCTGTTTTTTTCTATCTTTCACAGTAATCTCTCTCTCTCTCTCTCTGCATATCAAATCGTCAGCAAGGCAACAAAATTTATCCATTCGTTTATAATTGAAAGATCATTAAGTTCATAAACGTTACGGAACATTAACAAAGACCACTTATTACTTTTTTACCTATAAACTGAACAACATTATATCACAAAAGAAAAAAGAATCGTTTTTATTTGAATTTTGTTCTTGCAAATTATAAAGAAGTAAGCACTTAGTTAAGTATAAAATATCTCTGTTTTAAGAATGACTCTTTTACGTATACCTTCGGAAGGTATATCGACAAAGAGAAAAGTAAACGCTCACTTGATTATATAGCAACACAGGTATATCCGATTATTGTGATGATGGGTTTATTTAGAAAGAATCGAAAACAATCAATTTCAACAGGACCAGTTATTATTCAAGCATGGGAATTTGTTTCATTGTTTGCGTAGTCATTTATGTACACTGCTACCGATGACCTGAGTCATTTATCAAAATTAAGATAAGGAAGAAAAGTATACGGCAAAAAGGAGGAAAAAAAAGAATGCAATACTAGTGCAGTTATTGATGCATATGCCATTGAAACTTGAATACCAGACATAACATTATTTTATTAATTATTTATTAAAGACAAAGTAATTTCTATTCTTCGATCATGGGTTGCCGTGGTAAAGTCGAATTAAGTATTTGGCAAGTCGGTTTCTTAATTGCTCTCTCTTTAATTTGTGTTGTTGCTGCTGTAATTGGCTGGTTTCATGCAATAGGCCCATTGATGTATGATAGATCATCGTATAAACATTCAAATAAACTTAATAATGTTACATTAATTCTTGATACGCATCAACGATTTTCTTCATTTCTTGATGATATTGGTTCACCACCAAAACTCAACAATCCACATTCCTATATTCAATGGACAGTTCTTCAAATGAATGATGTTTATGAGCTCATACCATTAAGTGGTGGTAAAAAAGGTGGTTTGGCTCGTGTAGCAACAATACGAAAATTACTTCTTCAAGAAAATCCAAATACGATTACGATTCTAGCTGGCGACGTTGTGAGTCCATCGGCTTTAGGTATGAAAAAACGGAAAAAAACGTTTATTTTTATTGTACTGGAGTTAAACAAAATTTCTTCATCTCTATATTTGGCAAGTATCTACCGTGCTCTATCGATGTGTAATGTATGATGAAAACAAAATATAAAATGGAACATACTATGATTAGTGCTGACATGAGAATAATAGATGTCCCACGTTTAGGTTTATGTTATCGAAATGTTGCCTTGAATTAAAGAAAGTTATTTGATTAGTATGGTCTCTATCATGTTGAGTATTATCAATTGTATTCCAAGCATGCTTGGTTGATTACAATTAATATTTTTTTTGCTTACTTTTGCGAAGAAAACAACCTGTCATTTTCATCAGAATAACTAGATACGTACATCTGTTCGACATCGATGTGTTTCATGAGTTTTTTTATTTGATAGATTTTACGATGTATCAAAATAATTTTATTTATAATATAGGATGAAATCTTTTTCCATAGCGTAGAAATAAAAATAGAGATTAATTCAATCGTCAAACTATAGAATAAAGTTTAATCATTGTTTCATATTTCATTGTGAGCCAATACACTTTTAGAAAAAAGGGTTCGTATTGAATTTTCACATTTCACAAGTTTTTCACAAGCAGTTCTCTGTCCAAATTATATTTTGTCATATTGGAAATATTATTTTGCATATCAATGAAAGATGTTGATTGCTAGATTATTGATATGATCATTAGTAATAATTATGATGTATCGATATTGATACATCCTTTCAGCACAATTATTAGTTTCGTTATTTTCCTTTTGCTATTCCTGTCGATACGCAATTATGGATAAAGTCAATAGAAACTTTTCCTTAATTAGGACTGGAAAAAGAGAAATATGACCTGAAGTTAGTTATTAACAAATGTTAATGTTTGTAGTAACGTGCCAGTGACGTCAGTTATCAAACTTTACTTATGCAAAATGTAAGAAATTGACTCTGATTAGCTGTAGATCTCAAACAAAACAAAACAATTATAATAAAAAATGTACTTATCATATTTCTATCGAATTGTTTTCCTATAGGTAACAGTATTGTCAATGGATCGATGTTAAATGGAAAACAAATGATTGCTACATTAAATGTACTTGGCCTTGATTATGCTACATTAGGAAATCATGAATTTGATTTAAATGAAACATCGTTGAGACGACGTTTAAATGAATCTCGATTCGAATGGATAGCATCAAATGTTCATGAACTTAATTCAACAAAACCTTTTCATAATGTTCTACCATATAAAATCATAACAATATTAAATGTGAAAATTCTCATAATAGGTTTGACAATTGATGAAAATATGGGTCCGCTATCGTCGAAACCTTATGTCGCTATAACATCTCAACAAGCATTGCCAGACTTTACAGCACATTTTATAAAACGGCTTCGTCTTAATTTTAATTTAAAATGGGATGTACTTATTTGTTTAACACATTTAAATATGCACAATGACATCGAAATTGTTGAACATAATCCTGATATTGATGTCCTGATGGGTGGACACGAGCATGAAAATTACTATTTAAAACGAGGATCAAAATATACACCTATATGTAAAGCAGATGATAATGCATTTTCAGTATTTATTCATCGTTTTGCATATCAACCAAAAACAAAAAAATTATTAATTTTTTCTAAATTAACACCAGTTTCACCACGCTTTCTAGAAGAACCTGAAACAGCTAAAATAGCTAACTACTTTTATGAAGCTGGTCTACAAGCCTACAGAGATGATGGTAATTACTAGATTTAATACACACTTGTCGAGTTTTCATTCACTATCCATCTTGTAAATAGATGTGTATGTCATAAAATCGTACGTATTGTAAAAATATTCGAGTACGTACAGATGATCAAAAACAAAAACGTTTAGCATATTATTTTCTATGCCTATTTGATAGAATATCAGTGAAGGTTTTAGAACTTTAATGATAAGCGTAGAAAACAAATTGTTTTTGCTACAAGTTTCATACTTATTATCTATTAAATATTAGAATGAATTATTTTCTTATACTAACAGGATTTTCTTCAATAGTGTTCTACAGATAAGGTTATGATTATATACGAGTTAATTCTTATGTATCAATAACTTATGATATTATAGTTGAAGTCTATATCGACGATATATTTCTACAAATGCACTTTCTATATAGACGTTCAAACTTACAGAAATGTATGATTCGCTTCGTGAAAGAAAAAGTAGAATTCAATTATAAAATCTCATCTGGACTAATTCTATAAAAATATTATACTTGCTCGTAAGAAAAACAAATCTAGATAGCATAACAGATTCTGCGATGACGATTATTATCAGTGCATCGTTATATTGTTCATCTATTTATTATATTAGTCTATCTTTTATTTAGCTTAGATTCATGGGAAGTTTTTTTGTTCGGGAAAAGTTTATTTCGAGGGAATAAGTGAGCTTTTTTGTAAAAATCTAAGACCTAAATCATCCTTGAATGAGTAAATCGAGCTCAGGAATATCAAACTACTTGTAATAAAGTCGAATGTTCTAAATTGTGAATATCTTTTGAATCTACGTTTTTTAAACTCACCTATTTTTCTAGTACTAGCATGTGCAACAGATAAAACCACATAACTTTGTCATATATTCATCGTTCCTATTATTAATTTGTTTGCATATATTTACAGAAGAGAAAAAAGAACTGTATGTAGAACCGATGCACTTATCAATGCTTCGTCGTTTGCATTAATTCAACAGGTAGAATCTAGTATAATGAAAATGTTTTCAGGATGATCACTAAAATAGAAAGTTGTACTTTACAAAATATCTATTTTACCACCCTATTCTATCATCTCTGCATATATTTTATCTAGGCTATTTTCCGGAACGTGAAATATGTATTTTATCTGTTGGACTTAATTTTGATGGGCGTTCAACAGTCATACGTTCTCAACAAACACATTTAACGAATGCATTATGCAATGCCATGATGAATGCAGCTAATACAACAATATGTGTGTTCAATGCCGGTGCTATTCGTCTTGATGATCAATTAATGGGTACAATAACTCAATATGATATATTACGTTGTCTACCATTTCCCACGAATATAATATCATTGCGTGTTACTGGTTCAGTACTTGTGAAAGCTTTGAATCGCGGTTTAATGAATATACATACGGGAATGTTTATATCTTATACTGGTGTACAATATGATGTTCGCCAAGAGAAATGGTTTCTTCAATCCAATCATCAACCGCTCGACGATGAAAGTTTAGTATTAACAATAGCTTCAATACCATATTTTATGCAAAATACTGAATTGAAACATTCATCACAAATGCTAGCTAAACATTTAACAATGACACGAGCTTTTATTAAGTATCTTGAGAAAATCTATACAAAAACACCAAATGGATTTCCACAACAATAAAATAAAGAAAATTGAATTAAAAAAATACAAGAATCATCTCTTTTTGTCTGATATATAATTGATTTTTGTTTCGTTTTTACTAGCTGTCGCCTAGAATTCTATTTGTGTGAATCAACAAATAACGATAAAACGTTATGAAACCCTTTAGTTTGTATGAGTATATATAAATACAAAGTAGTTAGATGTAAACGTATGTTTGTTTTTTTGATTGTAAAAGTTTTTATTCATATATAAATATGAATACATTATTACTTAGATTATATCCTCTTAGAGAGTATAGCATGTTTGCTCGCCAACTAATATGTAAGAAATTTTCATTTTATGCGGAGACATCTAATACATTTACGTAGAAGTAAAAGTCAATATTGTTTCATCTCAATACGATATTAATTCGTATGAGAATTATTCATGGAAATGGAAACATTGTTTTGCTTTCTTTCACATGACCTATTTCTCATTAGGATTGAATATAAGCAATAAATGTTTTATTTAGCGAGCGAGACAATTCAACAGTTGGAAACAAAATAGCTGATAATTTCGATTAATCATTTCGTGGATATTAACTAATATAAAATGGTGAATATCTACTTATAGACTTTGTTTCAATATTTCTGATTTTCGTTCTAAATACGAATTATATTGGTTAATAAAGAATATGAATTATTCAGACACGTTTTTACAAGTTTGGAAAGATACACATGCATTATGTGTTTGTATTACCAATGGATAAAACTCGAATAGAATCGACAGAGATTAGTATTACTTATCAGTTATTACATTACAAGTACTATTGATTCTAAAAATAGATATCACAAGGTAAAAGCCATAAATCATGATTGATAATTATGGCTTATATCTTATAGGAGAAAAGTACCCAAAAAGCAAATCGCTTATAGAACTGATAATTTTTTTAAAGTTTGTTTCCATGCAATATTCTTCTTTATTCAGAATATAAAGTTTGAATCTGAAGTTGCGGTAAAGATCGCGAAGAATTTCTTCAAAGTCATAGGCTTTTTTTCGATGATATCATGATCAAATCTTTAATCTTGCTTATTTATTTGAGAAATCAATTAATTTCATATTCATTTTACTGCTAGAAAAAGTTGCGTATATTTTTAATTTTCTCATATTGAGTTTACAAATATTCCTGTTTTCGTTTTCGTTTTCGTTTTCATTAAACATACAGATCATCATAAAAACTCTGTTTATAAAGTACTAGTGACAATATTATACGTTGACATCAGATAAAAAACCGGCAGAATATTATAAAAATAAATCCTTTTGCTTTCCTCCAAAAAACCTGTAATTCAATAGCAAACCAATTAGGAAACCTCATTGTAAGATGTCAACAAGTTCCCCTTGAAATTCTTATTTCTGTTTAAAAAGCTAAGTTCATCTCTGTATGTAACAAGCATCTCCTATTTGTATTAGTCAAAGAATCAGTTTATATAAAAGACTTGACAATTAATTGTATTCTGCTATTGAAAATACGCTTTCAGAATTTTGTTTTTCTATATTTCCCGTAATTAAAAGATAATAGAACTATTAAAAGAAAGTCGAGTATATCCGTCTATAACACATATGAATTGGTGTTTTGTGCTAGATACAATACGAGATTTTCTTTCGACATTGTACCATAGAAATAAAAGTACGCAAACATGTTTCTGATAGACTCACATTTAAGAAAGGATACTTTTAAAATTTTTTCTACAGAATAAAAAACAACGATATTACAAATCAACATACACTAGTATAGTCATATATAGCCTACGTTTCTAGTTAAATTGATAATCGTTGCTTTGAACTATTGTTAAATTTCCTCTGTACCACTTGTTGTTTCGCTAAGGACTTCATTGTGACGAAATTTTGGATTTCTTAGCTGAGGAGATTTTGATTTCAGAACATTCACCAGATAATTTGTCATCGCTTGCATATCTACTACAGGAGGGTTACCACTTTTTCCAGGTTGCAGTTCGACCTCTTCTAATTCACTAGAAGTTTCATTAGAGGATAATTTATTTGCAAGATTTGATTGTTTCGAACTAACAACTGTAGCTTGAGTGCGTTTAAATGGAATTTTTACCGATTCTTTTGAGTCAGTCGATCTTGCACTAATGATACTATGATGCTTAAATGAAGATACACCTGATTCAATGTTTACACTGTTAGGAATTGATTCTTGATGAGTATTGAACCGGTTTCCTCTGTGACGATATACTACAATATTTGAATTGGGCAATCGTGAATTAATAGGATAATCATTAGAATAAGATTCATTCGATGATACTGGAATAAAAGCAATGCTTGAATTCATGATGTGTGATCTAGAATTTTGTTCGTTCGATATTGAAGGTTCTTTTGAATCGATTGATGTTGAATTTATAGTATTACTATCAAGTCTACTTGGTTGATCAGACTTCTTTGAAGGTTCGCCCTCAGTGTTGTTATGATAATCGTTTGATTTAATTGATGAAGTACGTTTTGAATTTGATATTGAATCTTCTGATTGATTCGAAATAACTGAGGAAACAACTAATTGAGTTGTCAAATGTAAGGGATTTCTATAAACGACTTTTGAATATGTTTTTATTACTTCTGGTTCATTTGATATATCTTGAACGATGTTCATGTGTGATACGTTTGATTTGGTATTTTCAGATATATTAGGTTTAATTTTGAACTGTTTGCAACCCATGAAATGATTTTGTCTTTTTAGATTACAATCAAGTCATTTTTGAGGAAGTTTTCATGTTAACATTTTAGTAGAATTTTGTCTTAGTCTTTTTAACGTTTTCTGTTCTTATTACCATCTATGGTTAATTTTGATTCGCGTACTACTGAATGTTATCTTATCAGGACACATTAATGCAAATAAAACAAAACGTTGAAAGATTTTGCACATAGATTGTTAATAGAGACTATTTTACAAGGCCATAATATACGAATGTCACTAGTTATAATATGATACTTTTATGTTACACAATTACCAAAATTCTTTTCTTATTCGATTTAAGTACCATACAATGAGCTGTGCTAAAGAAAATACGACTTCAATTATTTCGATGCCATAATAAAGATGGCACAGTATTTTTGAGCAAAGATTTCAATCTTTGACACTTTAATTCAATAAAGTTCTCAATCAGGTTAGTGTTTTCTAAAAATTTTCGCCACTTAGTCTGTTCCTATGCTAAAAACTTTGAACATAAAATATTTTCTAATTCTAGGTAATACCAATAATTATTTTCTTTACTTGCCCATCCATATCAGAATATCCGCAAAACAGTTGACACTGTCAGAATACATGATTCTTCTTTTTATTAACTGTATCTGTGAAAAATTTAAACGTTAATGGAGTAGATCCTGGAACACTTGCTGAAAAACGCAAACTATGTGTGATGTAGCAGCAGTTTAGCTTTGAAACTTTAATGCAAACTAAACTGTTTATTCATCGTTCAGTAGGACATATAGAATCGACCTGATCAAAGTTCAAAAGAAATAAAATCATCTATTAAATAGAAATGATTTCATTCGTAAAAATCGTTTAGATAAACATTTGATTGTGCTTGAACTAAAATCGAATATACATCGACAGTAGTGCGCTCTTTTCTTTGAAAATATAATCAATTTTTTGAAATAAATCATTATTTCTTTTAAATCTTGAATTTTCTATCGCCAAATACGATTTTTCTACAATCGATGGTACTTCTATAAACGAATTTCACACACCGTTGTAAAGGAGTTCAGTGAACTAAAAGAATAAAAAATTGTAACTTGAACAAAGATTATATATATTGAAACTAGTATACATTATCATTTCTAAATTCGATTACGACTATTCGATCAGTTTCTTTTCTCATCTCACACTTTTTCTTTCAAAGAAATGCTGGAACTATTGTCAATATCATTTACATTTACATCAATAGCTAAATTGGTTTTGATTATTGGTGCAAATCTGTTTCTCGGCTATACATGGTACTCACCAGTAGGCTTTCAAAATCAATGGATGAAAGCAAAGCAATGGAAAGAAGACGATTGTGAACACGATAATTTCCCTATTGTTATGTCATTTATAGGAGCCTTATTAAGTTCTGCGTTGTTAAATATAGTATTAACTGCATTTAATATTGGCACACATCAATTTCTTAGTGCCGTGTTGGTTTCTGCAATACTTTGTGGATTTTATGCCGTAAGTTCTTTTTACTCCGCTGAAAAAATTGTTTACTTATATAAAATATTTGAAATTTATTATTTTTAGTTTAATGCTTGGAGTCATGTATTTTTCACAAAGAAGAACGAGTATAAACAGCATCGTACATTATATTTAATTGATATTGGCTTTATATTCATTTTTTACACCATTGCATCACTTATATTAGTTAGCTTTTAATATTGTTCAATTCTTTGTTGTGTCATATATTAAGTCAGATTTTGGTTATATGTATTCTTTGTCTGTAGTTATATTTTTTTCCTTTTACTTTATTCTTAAGATGAAAACATTATTCTAGACGAACTGTAATCCAGTGTTTTTTTTCTATTAATGACAAAGACTTGTTCTATGCAATATTAAAATTTATGTTGAAAATAATTTGCGTATATTTATACACAGTCAAATTGAATTTAAAACTCGATTTACTTAGATTACAAAAGTTGATTACTTGATTTGATTATTCGATTTAAATTATCATTTTCTAGTTTTCTTATTAAAAGAATAATTTATCGTATTAGAAGTCAACTATCGCACTGTTTATTAGTCATTAATTGAGAGCAATCGGGATTCATCTGAAATATATTCTCTTTGTATGAAAACGAATATATAACTGAAAGCTTGATGGTATCACTTTTCTTCGCATGATATACTATTTAATATGGGCTATATGAATTCAGTCGATAAATATTGAATAAAGTAAATTTGAAAGTAATAATAATTACCATTGATTTCAATGATAGATATCGCATCTTTTGCTAAACTAGTTTTTAATTTACAGATGAAATATCTTGTTTATTTTATTGTGTAGAAAGAATAAATACGTACATCAATAAAGTTAAACATATGTTCGTGAAGCAAGATTGGTAGAGAACACAAATTTCATTTTATACTTCATCTTGCTTTTATTCATTTTAAGACCCTGATCTATTAGTGTAACAAAATTTTAATAGTGTAGAAAAACGGACTTTAATATGAATAGACTCATTTGTGAGAAGAGATCTGCAGTACAGTTTTTAGCCTCTTGGATTACATAAAACTACTCTGCTTATTATCCAGTAGGTTCATGAAGATCATTTGTAGTTTTTTTTATGCATCATCTTCAAGATCTTTTTATTCAAAACGTAGCTCAATTTTATGTTTCTCATATGATTCTTTTTGATTTTTGATTGATTTCTTACTAACATGTTTAACCGGTGAAACCAAATAGATTTCGATTGAATTCCCACAATATTATGTATGGCAGATTATTTGTTTCGCATAAAGTATGAGTTTTAAAATTATTTTTACTTAAATCTAGATATAAGACTCGCCATATACCTAGACTATATCTTATAGGCACAGAAAGTGTGGCAATATAACATTGAACATCCTTTTTATGAGACCATATCGTTTTATTTTAACAATGAACAACGTTCGATATTGTTTATTATGTACGAACACATTTAGAAAATTATTTTTTGATGCCGTGTGTTAATATTTACTTCTTTTTGGTATTTTATTTACTTTCTGAAGTCAACTAGTTTTTTATGTGACCCAAGATATCATTGACCAACATTTAAGTTAATTAATATAATCAAAACAGTTAATGTCACTTTTAGTTTTTGAGTAAATTTAAAAAACGTAGTACGCAAAAGACCCATCGTTTGTACATTTTTTTCTTTTTTCTACTGTCTCATAGATTTTACACTAAACGAATTGATCACTAAACAGTACAAGTTATAGGAACCAAATCAAAACTGTAACGTCGCTATCGTTTTTATCAATAGCAAAATAGCAAAGAAAAACAAATAAAAATGAAAGAATTAAAAATGAGCGAAAGATAGACTTAATGCTGAAGTCGAAAAACAAAATTTTCAAGCATCAGTTAGCAGAACCAAACGCTTACGGAAAAGACTAGAAGCAAAAATAAAATTTTGTTGTTCAACAGATTAACATAAACAAAAAGAAAAATTAGCCTAGAAGCTACAGAAAAGTAAAACAAAACATGAAAGTATATCAGACCGAAAGGCAAATAAATCAAAAGCCTACGTATTGTTTTTTTTCAATCAATTTCATTATTCAATAATGCTGCTGCTTGATCAACTGCTTCAGATATCGTCATAGAAGACACTGATGTTTGTTGATTGCCAATTGATTGTTTTGCGAATTCATCACGAAGGATTTCAAGATCTTTTTCTCGTATTTGAATAAATAGAATACCATTAACAACATTAAGCATTTCTAAGACATTTTGAAAACTTGGTTGTTGAATCTAAATTTATTTTATAGAAAATTGAACTGCATGAAAGAATACTAGCGTAACAGATGTCAACTACCATGTATGCTTAGAATCTGTAAGTATATATGGACATACAATAGTAAGAATGGAGTTTAGGACTAACGTTCTAGATCAATCGCTTACATAGATTTGTGTTTAAAAAATGAAAAGAAAAAAATGTCTAAACAATATTTGTTAGAAGAAAATATGTCGATCGTATTAAACGTGGAACATTTCAAGGAATTAGCGATGCTGATTGGGCTACGGGTAGATGTGTATGGTGATGAGTAGAAGTCTCGGTGGATGTAATGTTAACGTTTAAACGAATGTGCATCTCAGTAACTTGAATTTAGATATATACTTGAGTTAGTCTCTAGAATGATGTATACATGTGGTTACAAATAAACGTGTGTATATACGGCTGTAGCTAAATTTTGAACCTCCAACAATTTTGGACCAGGCTCCACACCATTAAAAACTTCTACACTAGAACAAGTATTATCAACTAAGTCTTCTAAAGCGCTTATCAGCAGCAGTATAGTCAGATAAAACTAATCAAGTGCAGATCTTACCGGGCAGATTCCTATTGTAAACGAAATGAAGATTTAAGCTTGCACCTGCTTTGATTGTTGAAATCACGCTCAAATTTTAACTTTCTGAACAAGTGTCCTGATTTTAAGCCCTTCCACTTGTTTTCAATTAACATTCATTTTTCGATACTTTCTCTTTCGGTATTTTTACTACTTTGCGACCATACGAATTAGATTGTAGCTCTAAACATAAGATTGGCATGAGTAAGAAGAGCCCGTCGGGGG